GTACAGGTAGTAGTTCTATGTTGGAAAGATCATGAAGTAATTAGCATAAACTTTTATTTACAGGTTGACCTCTATTTATGATCTCCTAATCTACGATAATCCGCATTAACGATGGTGATATATTAAGACCACCCCCCCTATTTGTGATGTAAACAAACTTGCATTACCAATATTCATCATTCCGCCAACTCGGCAAATGGAACGCAACACTCACTTCATATGTAAGCTGAGGCTCCATTTACCAGAACTCCGCCTTGTGGCCATCTGGTGAACTACAGTCTTGCCATTGTTTCTTCTTGGTTACATGTGTGTAAGAAATGGACCTCTCTCTCTCTTTCTCTCCTCCATCACTCTCTCTCTCTCTCTCTCCTCCATCACTCTCTCCCCTCCATCACTCTCTCTCCCTCACTCTCTCTCCTCCATCACTCTCTCTCCTCCACTCTCTCTCCCTCACTCTCTCTCTGTCACTCTCTCTCTTATTCTCTCTTTGTCACTCTCTCTTATTCTCTCTCTCTCTCTCTCTCTCTCTCTCTCTCTCTCCAGTAAAAAGGACATCACTAAAGTTCACATTGTACTCTGTTTTAGTGACTGTGAAGTGCCTTTGCTCTGATTCCCCACCCAGACAATGGGTGACCTGACATTGCATCTGAAGGTCAAGTAATATGAGATCACCAATCCCTCACCCCACCTCCACTGCAAATGAGAGAAGAGTTTATATACAATGGGTAAACCTGACATTGCATCAGGTTAGGTCAGTAACTCGAGACCCACTAATCCCCTACACCTCCATGACTCGTGTTAAAAGACGTAAAAAGTGATTAGAGTTGTGTTTTACATTCAACAGATTGGACAGTACTGTATACTTGTTATACTTTAGCCCAAGATGACAGTAGTAATATACATGTACATCATTTGTGTTATTTATAATATGCATATTGTATGTGTAAAGTAGTGTTTGCATAAATAAATACAGTACAGCTATTGTGTCTATTTGTGTGAGATATGTCACTTAGACTTGGGAAAATTTTCTCCAGTACATGGTGGAAAATTCTACTGTGACACACAGCTCCATTCACGAGGTGCATCGCACGCCAGTATCATATAGATATTTAGTTTTTTAAACATATTTATTTAACAAACCTTTCAGATAAATTATTTACGATTATTTTACTAAAAAAACGTTGTTTCTAAGTTAATTTGAACTGATTTTATAGACTTCAGTATCAACATTTCTTACATTTCTTCATAAAGGAATTGAGTCCCCCATCATTTTATCTTGTCAAAATATTTTGTTTAGGAATTTTTTATTGAAACTGGCTGGTACCAAATTCATGTCTCTAACACAATTAGAACAGGTGCTGTGAATAAAAGTTTATACACTTTTTGCTAGCCAAAATTACAGTACATTTGCTACTTAGCTTTCGTCTTAATTCAAGATCTCTTCTTGTCATGAGACCCACTAATCCCCCACCCTAACGGTGGGTGACCAGATATTGCATGAGCCCACTAATTCCCAATCCCATCTCTACTTGACATTGATCAAGTCAGATCAATAACATGAGACCTACTAATCCCCTACCACATTTCCATCACCATATTTGATACTTTTTTTCATAAAATAACAGAGTCCCCATCATTATTGTTGTATTTTTGTGACCGAAATGAGTAATTTATCTATGAAAATGTCTGGCAAGCATTTTGCTCACCATCTTTAAGGCCAGGATGAAGGCTACACATCCAGTTCCCACACTTCAGACTCCCCAAAGTCTGTGTGGGACTTAGGTTGATGTCTCCATTCCACCTTAAGAGTCCCCTTAGCCTTGAAGGGGACATATGATGACGACTAGACTTGTTCTTAAAGATGTGGTGAGTGTTGTTTAATTGTGTTGTAATGCTACTGTAGTAGTATTTTAGGATTTTTTTTTTTTTGTGATACATTGGGTGTCTGACTGGCCAGGAACCTATCCCACTGAACCCCATGTTATAATGAACCCGATTTACAATATTTCTACTTGTGATGGGATTTTCAGGAACCTCCCCCATCACAAATAACTCTGTATGTTGCCTAAAATGTGTACATAAACAAAAAACAGGTTGTCTGTGCCAGTGATCATTACATAATGAGCTGAAATGCAGATTACCCCGGAAACACCCATGGATAACTCCATTATACACAACAGATTTAAAGCTGTTGGATTTGGCCAGTCTCCCCCACTTTGTTCTCTAATTTCTAGCTTCCTTGAGAACTGATCCATGGCAGCTGTTGTCGGGGGATCAATCTCTCGCTCTTTCTCTACCGAAAGTGGTATACCACAGGGTTCTGTTCATTCACCTACTCTCTTTCTTCTTTTTATCAATAATTTACTTCAAACTAAGACTAATTCTATCCATTCTTACGCTGATGATTCTACACTTCACATTTTCCCTTCCTCCTAATTCTCAGACTAGATCTGTTTCTCGAGCTGATATCATTTCATTTATCATTGCGGATCTGTGCAGCATCTCCGAATGGGGAGGTAGAAACTTGGTTAAATTCAATAGTAATAAAACTCAGTATTTACCAATTACACTTTCCAAAGTAGATGATCTTCCACCGATCACATTTCAGGACGCAATCATTCTGCTAAGCTCAAAAATGGATATACTAGGCCTCACCACATTGCTAAAGCTGTCTCCTGAAAGCTGGGAATGCTGTACAGATACCATAGCTACTTCACACCTGAGTAGTTGCTTTAAGTTTATAAGGGATTCATTCGTCCTAACTTGGAGTACTGCTCTCATATCTGGGGTGGCTCTTCTTCTGTCCAACCTTTTGATAGGGTGGAATCAAAGGCATTGTGTCTTATTGACTCTCTTCCTTTAGTTGATAATCTTTCGTCCCTTTCTCTTTGCCTCATTTTTGCTTCACTCTCTCTCTCTCTTTTACAGGTACTTTAACGGGCAATGTTCGGTGGATTTGGCTTCCTGTGTACTGCCGGCAAGGCCGTGGGCTCGTAACACTCGTCTTGCCCGTGATGCCCACTGTTTCTCTGTGGATGTCGGTCACACAAGAATAACCCATTATAGTACATCCTTCTTTCCTCACACAGCCAAACTGTGGAATGCTCTGCCTTCTTCTGTGTTTCCATACTCATACAATCTGTCTCTCTTTAAAAAGCCAGTTTTCCGGCATCTTCCTGGTGTAGATCAAAACTTATAATCTTTTTCTTTTCTATTTTTAATTTTGTTTTACTCTTATTTTTTTGCCCCCAAGGCCCCGTTGTGGGTCGATGACCTGTGCCCGGGTGGGCTATTCCCCGTAAAAAAAAAAATTATTGGCTACGCCTTTGTAGTCTAACAGTCATCATATTATTGCATCACCTTTATTGGCTGGTAAAAGTTTACTTTAATGCCATAGCCTATTTGGCTTTGGTAACCCTGTCGCCTTATTTTTTACATTTTATAAATAGAAATGTTAGTAGGATGTGTTACTGTACAGGTAGTTCTGCTATAACGCGATAATTGTGTTCTTGTAAAATATCGTGTTATAGAAAATCGCGTAATAGAAATAACAGGGCTTATGGAGAAAATAGGGTTAGGTGCAGATTACTCGAAATCGAAAAAATTTAGTAGTTAGCCTAACACAAAGGATAGCACAGTCTAAATAAATGTTACATTCATATCTAATAATGAAATCATACAGTAAATGTAACACTTTACTTGATGGGGGAGAAGGGTGATTTTGAGGTTGATAAAATCGAGCTTCTCTTCAAGTGTTATATCCTTTCTTTTACGATCATCACCGGGAATTCTATCACCAGAACGCTTCTTGTTGATATTCTTCTTTACTATATTCACAGTTAATACAGTGGGGTATGCTATAACGAACGGATCCTACTACGAATATTCCTATAACGAACGGTTTTACCTATAAAATTGAGAATGCTATAACGAACGAAACTCCTACAACGAACATTATTTAATTTTTTTTTTTTTCTAATTTATTGTTTTTTTATTACAAATATTAATGATATTCTTTATTTCAGGGGTTTAGATGCATATTTATGCACTTTTTTACAATTTTTACAATTTTATATTATATTTTTCAGTGTTAAGTGGTTGTATTTGGGGGCCTGGAACGGATTAATCCTATAACGAACGAATGCTATAACGAACAAGGTTCTAGAACCAATTAGATTCGTTATAGCATACCCCACTGTACCACAAAATTGGAGAAATAGTAAGCAAAAATCGCGTTATAGCAAACAAGCGTTCGCTTTATACAAATATCGTTCCTAATTCATAAATCGTGTTAGAGCAAATTCGCGTTATCAAAACACGCGTTATAGCAGAACTCACTGTACATATTTTCCATATACCTGTACTAACACACACATAAAGCTTCGTTATCTTTCTTGACATTCACCAAATATTCTTACCTGTCATCTTTTAAGTTAAAATATTGTATCTTTAATTTTGTTCCCTGAATTTTGAGAGGAGTAAAGACCCTTGCTGTTAGCTCACCACAGTCTCTGCTGGACTCCATCACACATCACTGATTTAGATATGGATAATGTATACAGTACCTCTTACTTTGTACTTACTTACCTAAAGGTGGCCAAGACAGAGAAGGCCAATGTCCTGTGTAGGATTCCTCCTTTGTTCTTGATAGTCTTGTCCAGAACTACTGTATTTTGAAGGCCAGTGCTGTTTTCTTTTCTACATCTTGAGCTGGTAGACAGTTCCATAGGTCTACCAGCTTCTGTATCAAGAAGTATTTCGTAATATTCTTCCTATATAACACATTGGTGAGATTGAAGATGTGCCCTCTTGAATTGGTGGTGCATGACAATCATGAAAATTTGCTTTGGGTTTACGACCTCCAACCCATTCAAGGTTTTGAACATCTCTGTGGGATCTGTCCTATTGTATCTTGTCTGAAGAGTTATCAGTCCTAAGGCCCTCAATTGTTATCCTACATACTTCATCATGGTTTACTGGGTATATCTTTCATAAGCTAATTATCTTATACAGTATTTAATACTTCTTACATCATACCACATAGATTTTACCCTTTACAGTATTTTGTATCTCTTAACAGTATTTTTTTATCTTTGCCTTGACTTTATAAATATACTTATTCATCCTGTTATTATTGTATATAATTACTGATGTGTCTATCATGTGTGTCTTCTTTGAGTTTCTTATTGCTCACTTTACTGCCTGTGTTCACCCAAGCACTATGTTATGGGTAATACCACTTTGATGTCCACTGCTTGCTGCTGAAGTACAGTATTTTACCACATTCATCACCTTCTCTGTGACAGCCAATGCCTTTCTGTTCTGCCATCTGTATCAAACAGTTGTAGAAAAGAGCAAACTGCTTGGTGGTTTCAATATTCTATGTTTGTTTATGAAATTATTTGTCACTGACATGTAATGCATATGTCAACAGTCCAAAATACAGCATTCTTTAATAGCTCATAATAATAGTACAGTACATCAAAATACAACATTCTTGAATAGTTCAAAATAATACTAATAATACAGTAGTACACTTAAAATATTTATACAATACAGTGTTAAGTTCATGTGTTATACTACTTTCAGACTCAGTGTTATAGTCTTTTTATGGTAAACTAGAGCAGTATTAAAATTCCCTTCATTCCCTCTGCTAACTGTGTATCATCTATATGCATGGGTGTCCACAGGATCTTATTTTCATATAAGAATAATAATACAGTAAACCCTTGCACTTCTGGACCTCTCTGATCCGGACCAATGTCTGAGGTGGCAAATTCCTATCCGGTCTCTCCCTCTCAGTCCGTATGCCGTGTTTACTCCCCCCACTGCTAAAATGGACCCAGTCCGTGTCATCTGCTGGGCCAATGCTTTTTCCTGCATGGCTGAATAAATAACAGTAAGGCATACTACAGTAATATGTGTGTGATTTGTCTTAAGTTGTTTCCCTGGCCTCCAATTGCTAAGAAAGCTTAAAGAAAGAGGTACTGTTAGTTCTTACCTCATAAAGCAGAATTTTCCTTCCAGAGGCCTGTTTAATTTGTTGGCATTATTACATCTGATACAATGGTGAGTTCATCCTGTGCTGATGTGCTTGATTGCTAGTGGTAACATTCTTCTTTTCACACACAGCTGTGCCACCTACCAGTAGAAATGAATGATCGTTTCATAGGTCTTGTCTGATATCCCATGATAGCCATAAAGGAAACTCAGAGACCACTTTACCGCTGTCTTAGGTCCTGTCCTGTTCTCTTGATACAAGACCTGATAATGATAGGCTTGTAGTTGTTGCTTGGACTCATGCTCTTGTGGCTGTTATTAAATAAAGAAATGCATACCAATAATATTAATAACTTGTTGATGGAATTAAAGTACGCCCAATTGCAGACAGTAAACATATTTTATTTAGAATTTTCCAACTGAATTCTCAACATGAAGTTATTTTGTTGTCCACAGGAGAGTTTTCAGAAGCCCAGGAGAACTTGAGATTACTTGAACAGGATTACAGAGACGTAACAGACAGTGCCCAAGATGAAGGGGACTCTATTGACGAATATTAGATCACAGTGTATCACCCCTGGTGCTGACCATCTTCACTAGAAGTATTGAACTTCTTGAGTCTTGAGTACTGTACATGTGGTCTGGGTAGAGGCTGTACCTGAGCTGCCTCGCCACTGTTGGAATGGAAGTTATTGGACACAGCTATGCTATGACCTGATTCAACAAACCGTCTTGATGGACTTGAAGGGACTGAATTAGTTTTTCTGTTTTTTCAAGTGTAATCAGTTGGAAGTAATTTCATAGCAAAATTGTTGTGCATGTACAGTATATTAGTGTTTGAAGATATATAAATCAATCAGTCAAAAGGTACATGTTAGTGTGCAGTTTACAGTGACAGATGTGTGAGTGATGGAACTTGACTAAATAGATTACAGTACTGCACTGTACAGTGAAGCTCCAGCACATTGGGGAACAATGGGTGAGCTGAAAAGTAGCAACAGCAGCAGTTGTTGTTGTGAAAGAAGATACTCAGCATTAAAATCAAAATAAATCAGCAATAACCACATGAATATTATAGGTAGGTAGACGAATATCTGTACTTTGGTACAAGTTTACTGTTGTGACTCATCTGACATTGATAGTCTAGTCCTGTAATATAAATTATGGGGACCTCGCAAAATACCTAACAATAAAAAAATTAAAGTTCAAGTCATGTACAGTACCCAAAAAAGTATTGCTAGCCATGGGGTCGATGTGGTCATGGTGTTTTGAGCAGTGTTAGTCCACTAGTTTCAGAACGGTTGGTACAGTCGACTCCAGGTTAGGTTAGGTAACACTTTCATGCACAAAAACTGCCAGAATTTAAAAATTACCCTAAATAAAAGTTTTATTCCTGCAAATATTATACAGTATAAATACTGTATTGTACATATGCTGTGTACTGTACATGTCAACACTGTATGCCAAGCCGACATACCAACTTACAATGATGCTGAGATGAATGTAACAAAACATTTCGTTGAGCATTTCATATCGTAAAGACAGAAAAAGTAACAATACTTTTGGGGGACTGTACAACAGGAGTTAATGTTTTACTGTTGTTACATATTGTTGAGAGAAACTAGGATGTTATAGTACTGTACAGTACAGGCATCCCCGTGTTACGGAAACTCTGGCTATGGAAATTCGCTCCTACGGATTTTGTAAATCACGACCAATAAATTCGGGATATGGAAAAAAAATTCGCCCTTACGGAAATTGGGTAAATTTTTAAGTTAATTTATTTTATTTTTTCATCAATATTATTAGAAAATTTTTTACAGAAATTATAAAATTTATTTCGTGTGGATTTCTTGGTGGTTGCTACAATACTGTACAGGGCGAGGCAGGAGCCAGTAGTGCCCCTCCGTCTCCCTTCCAATACCGTCTCCCTTCCAGTACCGTCTCCCTCCCAGTAACTCCGATTGCACCACCTCACCTAACGTAGCACTCAACGTTGTTTGTGGTAAGTTAAATTCAAGTGTTTTGTATACAGGCATTTATTATCATATTATATCATAAAATAATCAATGTATATGTTAAAAAAAAAAAAAAATTCATTCATAAATGTGCTTGTATTACGTCTTTTTCCCGAAAATATTTCCTTGGAAACGCATCTCCAATTATATAATGGAAGTCAATGGGAAAATTGGTTTCGCATTATGAAATTTAACATTACGGACAAATTTTCAAAGACACATACCTTCCGTAACCCGGGGGATGCCTGTATTAGATTTGATGATGACACTGGTCTGATCTCTCATTCACATCCTTCAGTGGTTAAGAATAGTCTTGCCAGAGTTTAAAATGATCATGTTAATGCAACACAAAAAGAGGTATACTGTACTGTATATGAATGGATATATACCGTAATAGCTCTGTAAAATCACCTTTGTGATCTGATCAAATTTTCAATATTGGATATTAGATATGTTCATATTTATTATTATTATTAATATTACAGTATTATTTAATTATACATTATACAGTATAACAGGAACACACCCCGCTAGTTGTCACTGACACTAACAGCTAATCCAGACAAGTATGGAAAATGGCTGTTTAATGTTGATGATGTTGAATACCTGTTTCAAGCAGCCAGTCAAAACCCAGTAACACCTTTTTTTGTAGAGAAAGATGGATGAAGAAGGTTAGTGGTGCAGGAAGGGCACTGATAGGTCAGAACTTGAAGAAGTGGAAGAGATAATAGTTGACTGGCTGACTGCCTTGCTACCAACTAGCTACAGTAAGACGAAAAAGAGGGTGAATGTGAGCAGTCAACAGTTTACTATAGATGGTTTAGAGGTGTTTGCCCTGTTGACTGTCCACCTTGTCATCACTTTTTAGACTGTTATCCTCTTCACCACTGATCTGTCACGTCTCTGTTACACACTGTTGGTAAGTACTGGGCATGCACCGGCTCCTGAATGTACCTGAACCTGTTCCAGTGTTGGTTAAGTCTGGTCTTGAAAGAGATCACACTCAGTGCCGTCACAACACTTTCTGGCATGTACTGGCTCCAGAATCTATCTGTACCTGCAAGTAGAGTGAACTACTCAGTTGAGTGTCCAAATCTGAATCTGGTGGATGCCTGCCCCACAAGGGGTTAAAGAAGCCACAAATCCTCAAAACTGTGAAGGCAAACTGTTTTGGAGCGATAATTGTAAACTCTTGGAACAATCTGCCAGAGAGTGTTGTGATAGCACTGAGTATGAGCTCTTTCAAGACCAGGCTTGTCCAACACTGGTGCAGGCACAGATACATTCAGGAGCCAGTACTTGCCAACAGTGTGTAACAGAGATGTGATCAGCTAATGAGCCGATCAGTGGCCAAGTTATTTTCCATTATCTGTAAGCTAGTTTATGTCTTCAAGGAACTTACTGAACATATAGTCATTGAACCATCATGCTTATAATTGTTAAGATTTAAGTCTTAATATATAACATCCAGTGAATGCTACTGGACAGTGGTCCCTTGGTTAACGAAAGGTTCGATTAACGAAATTTCGGTTTACGAATTACCTCCCATAAGGATCTTCAATTCAGTTAACGAACAAAACTTCGATTAACGAAATCCTTACAACAAACACGTTTTGTTGTGAGCATCAGCTGATCAGCTGATGGGCTAGTCTGCCAATTCAGTAATCTGTTCTATGTTTACATTCGTTTTCAGTGGAGTAAATATCAAGAAAGTTGTGCTCTTTAATATTTTTGCATTTCTTATGTTAAAATTATTAGTCATTTTAAAATTTAGTTAACATATTGATAATATATGCAGTACAGGGAACTAGTTTTTTGTGTACCCATCAACTGCTTGACTCGCCCACCAGGTGTCAGTTTGGCTTTGTTTACAGTGGAGTGAACATCGATTTTGTTGGTGTCTTGAATATTTTTACATTAAAATTATTGGTCATTCTGAAATTTAGTGAACATATTGATAATATATAGAGCAGTGCAGTGTTGATTTAAATAAAATAATCTTGAATTACACCCAGTGAACTTAAAATTTTATTGGTGAAATTACTGCATCAAGCATGGGTCCCCTGAAAGGCGATTTCTCCTCCATCCCCACTTCCTTCTCTTCTCCCTTCTCCTCCACCTTCACTTCTAAATCCCATCATCATCATCAACCAGGAACCTTCTAACATACACACCTCAAACTAAGTGTACTTAACTGCATTTTTTTTTTTACTCTGTATGTACTTTTCTGTGAGCTGGAACCAATTACCCAATATCCCATTGAAACAATGGATTCGGTTAATGAACGACTCTGTGGAACGAATTGTGTTCGTTAACTGAGGGACCACTATACTTGTTTGTATGAAAGGAAATCAGAATACAGTGATCATAATAAAAAATCAAAAGGTTAATCTTTAAGAGTATTTTCTATCAGTTTAGGCTAAGCTTAAGTGTAAATGTATTTTAACTTTCACAACAATCTCAGGCTAATCAAAGTTTCTAATTGCATTTATTAATTTAAGATGCATGCATTATTTAACTTAGGACTTGTTCTGAGAGTGAACATAATATTTGTTCTCTACTGTAATAGTTTGAATTAAGTTTGTTAGTTGTACATTAAGCAACCCCCTTTTGTATGTTAATAAGTTTGTGATAATGTACTGGTGTATGTCAAACCAGCACTCGGGTCACTTCTATCACTACAGTATAGTACTGTGCTGTGTTTCACTCTTTACAATTTAATTTATAACAAGTGGTCTTCCTACTTTATTATTATTATTATTATACTGTAATTATTATTATTACTTTATTATATGTTATCCTCTTTGCCACTGATCAACCTGTTAGCAATAGTGGGTAGTTGTTCACTTCTTTGTTACACACTATTGGCAAGTACTGGGCATGTACTATTAGTATTCAAAGTTATATGACAGAATGAATGTGCTAGTTCCAAAGTGATAATATGGGTCGGGTTAAAAGTTGTTGGTACACTACAGTGGTATACCCTGATGTTTCTTCATGTACTAACAGTGGGCAATAAAGTTCATAGCAAAGTAACAAATAAATGGACAAAATGCTAGTAACCTGATAAGTGGTATTGGTGGTGGGAGATTGAGAAACAAGAGTGGGTGAATGTTAGGTGGACAGGATTACTGTAAAGGTGAATTTGGGGTCTTGTGAATGAATACAGCCATAGCATACTTGCCTCTCACCACTGAGTCCCAGTTTGAATCCTCAACCGGGTCAGATCTTTTCTCTGGGTACTCCGATTACCTCCTGTACAGTACTAACACTTATGGACTGTCAAGGTTGTAAACAAAGAAACAAAGAAAAAATGATCACCTGAATGGCTTTACTGTAGTAAAATTATAAATTAAATGAAATTGAAAGAAAGGCATCTAAGGAACTGAGAAGAACCGTGATTGAAATGTCTGACCAATTTTATTAACCACTTGTATAGGGTATCCCCTCTCTGCTGACTAAAATTGTCAAGCATTAGCCAAATAAAATATTAAAAGTGGCATTCCCATAGTGAAGGGGTTGAAATAAAAAAGAAAAATTAAAGACAAGGGAGAATCAAGAAACTAGGAGTTCGGGATTCTTAGTCAAGTGAGGAAAGTAAATATGGATGAAATATTTTAAAACAATGAGCGAGAGGAAATGGATACAAGTATATAAAGGGTGAATTAGGAGGAGTTCAAGGAGATTGGAAATAGTATAGGAACACAATTCTAGGATAAGATGTGATGTGTGTTTGTACAAGAGACTTTGGACCACAGAACAGGAGGAATGAGAGGATGTCAGTGTTGTGCAATAATGGGTAAGGTCTTGATTGAATAATAAAAAAAAGCATCAGTAATTGTAATTATTATTATCAGTACTATTTTACTTGATATTGGTATAGTTACTTTTCTTATCATTATTCTTATTATTATTATTAATTACAGTAAACCCCCAATATAACAGACTAAATGGGGGGAGGCAGGTCTGTTAAAGTCGAAAGTCTGTTCTCTCCAGATCTGGAATAATAACGCACTTGGTCTGTTATATACAGGCTGTACCAATATAGTTCGAAGTAACCACATGGGTCACTTTTCACCACCAACGCTCACCATCACCACCAACGCTCACCATCACCACCAACGCTCACCATCACCACCAACGCTCACCATCACCACCAACGCTCACCATCACCACCAACGCTCACCATCACCACCAACGCTTACCATCACCACCAACGCTTACCATCACCACTCTCCATCACCACCAACAACATTCACCATCACCACCAACAACACTCATCATCACCACCAACAACACTCACCATCACCACCAACAACACTCATCATCACCACCAACAACACTCACCATCACCACCAACAATACTCACCATCACCACCAACCCTCATCATCACCACTAACATTCACCATCACCAACTGGTGTTTATAGGATGAGAATGAGCTCAAACTAGAGTGATGGAGTGGCGACCTGCAGATTAGCAGAATAAACAAAATCACTCGACACATTAGTAACACATATGGTACTGGTTGGTTGTAAGGGGAAGAGGGGTGAGATAAACAATGACCACTGCACTACCAGGATCACAAATATTCACTATAATATACTGAAATCACTCATATAAAAAGCGAGCATGACAAGTAAGTTGAATGCTACCGGGAATAATTTTACACGAGAGCGCTGATTGGCTGCGAGCATACATGGGTATGTTGCTCTCTTTGGCGGATAGACTGTAAAGAAACATGGCCGTTGTTGGCTAGTCTTGTAACTTCTGCCTTGTATTATGGATTTTCATAATTAATTTTTTTCTTGTAAAAAAATAACTCCAGGAGAGGACCAAAGAGCTCTACAATGAATCAGCACTATGCAGGTTGGGTTAAATGGGGGTATTACTGTAATTATTTGTGAGAAATTGGATACAAATGGACACGAGTCCGTAATTTTTTTACCATAATGGACCCGAGTCCGTTATTTTTTACTTTAACAAACCTGAGTCCTCAATACGGTATATGAACCTAGTCCGAATGAATCAAAGTGTCCGTTAAAGTCGAGGTCCGCTATAGATAGTGTCCGTTATACTGTATCGGGGGTTTAGTGTATGTTTTATTCACTGTAGTATTTAAGTCCACCAGGTACAGTACAAGTGTTAGAGTGAAATAACACTTATAAGGCAATAGACATCTAGTAATACACTTCCCGACAGCATTTATTCACAAATAACTCACAAAGAATGTCAACATTACCTAAGTAGTTTGTCAGTGTTAGAAATTGTCTAAATGTTTGAAAAAATATGTACTGTACTGTATTATTTAGGATGCTTTCCTTAGATGCTTTCAGAGGTCCTTCAGTGCAGTAGAGTTCAATGTGATAAAAGTAAAATGGTTTTTCAACACTTATGGTGGTATTAATATCCATATGTGTGTCTATAGGTCATGATTTTTCATAGCCATCTTAATAGAAATTTGTTTTAATTTGTTAAATTCTCTATCTTGCTTTTTCCAAACTATTAGAAATCGAATTGGGGGGTTGGACTGTGCAGTACAGTATTTGGAAAAACATTATTTTGGGGTTATTGATCAACATAAGTTTAATTGTATATTAACATTTTTTAGTAAATTATCATCACTGGTTTTCTCATGTCTCATAACAAGTTGGTTGTAGGCAAGAGGGAGTCTGAACTACCAGGTGATCCTTACCATCCTAACTACCAAAACTAAAATTTTCTAAAAAAGAAAAATACAGTATTGCAATGTTTCAGTTGTGTCAGTTGAAAATGCAGTGTTAATGGCATAAGTTGGCAACATAGCCAACTAGGTACAGGGGTATTGACTTGTTCAGCAACATCTGGAGTCAAGCTTATGTATCACCAAAGCATAAAACAAGCAAGACCTTGGTCCTCCTTCAACAGTTGGTTGTATGTTGACAGCTTTGTATTGCTGTTAGAGGTAGTAATTAAATAAATGCTGATGTGTTTGTACTATTTTATACATAATATTCTGGGGAGGAGAGGCACTGGATGAATCCTTCCTACTTACTGTAATAGTAGGGGGGGAGGGGGGGCAGTATTTAGCATGTCTCTACAGATGATTAAGTGAGCTCTGTAGGTAGGGATAATATGGTACATATCCCTGCATTCCCTGTAGAGAATCAGAAAATATAACAAATGTTTTCCTACTTCTTGTAGATAGGAAGATATATCTATTAACTGTCTTCACCCTACGTGTACAGGTGGATATGCCATATATTGTATACTGTACAACACTCTCATCCCTCAGTTCCTGTAAAATGGAATATGAATTTCCTGATCCCTTTACTTTCTGTAAGAGATGGACAATACTGTACTTGTACATCCAATCTGCAGCCTCCCTGCCCTACTATTATGTACTGTATATGAATAACCACTTGGATTTGCTATGGGAATAAAGAAATAAGCCCCAAAAGACTGTTACTTGGTTACTTTTGTATTTTTGATAAGCTAAAAATCACATACTGGTATGTTAATAAAAATATGAGATTTATACAGTAGTTCAAAATGATTTAGACATAATTTAGGTTCTATGTGTGTGCATATCACTTCAGTCTTGATGTAGGGAGTTTAACTTCTTGAGTGTCATAATCACAAATATACTCGTATGACTGAATGCTTACAGGGAAACTACATTTTTTTTTACTCTTCTTGGACTTTGAGAATATAAGGTCATGAAAGGTGTTCCTAAAGTCAGTTTATCCTCTTCCTCATCTTCTTACATCCAACCCAATTGTATAACTTGGCTATAGGAAGCTACAGGCTAAACTAATTCTTGGAACACCTTGTGTTGTTTGTTTCAGTGCTATAAATCGACTTTAAAAGCAAACAAGTTTATATTTTACTTCCATTATCCTACTTAATGTGTTGATGTAGGAAGGAAGAATCATGTACTGTACCTCTACCATTAGTAGATCTATCCTTGACAAAATTCTTCCCTGTTTTACCATACAGTATATAAGATTATGCAGAGGGAGAGAATGTATACCGTACATCAACAAGTAACTTTAATGTTAAAAGTGGAAGATATCTAATGGTCATTGGTATAATTTCATATATTTATGCTGGTATTGTGACCCCATGGCAACTAGCACTGCTGAGGTCTTAACTATTTATTTTAAATGGTCACCTGTGTTTGTTCAGTTCTTTTTTGTAACCAATGTATGTTTCATTTTCTGATTCATTTTCTCTGTGGGCATGTAGTCTTGTACAGTACTCTGGAAAACTAACTGGGTGGCTTTGTATGTTTTTTTTTAAGACTTAAGATAGTATACTTATACTAACTTTCAACTCCCATTTGTGTTCTTGTACCACTTCCTATGACCACTGTGTTGTTTTTCTTGTTTCCTTTAATTCGAACATTTTGTAAGGAAATGTCTCTCACTTGTTATATGCCTCTGATTAAATTTACCTTCTCTAGGAGAGTTTGCAGAAGCACGGGAGGATCTAGCGGCCCTGGAATTGGACTACCATGAGGTCGAGCAGTCTCCACCAGAAGACGAAGAATATGATGACAACTATTAAGTCTTCACTTCCAGCACGTGTGACAAACAACACACAGTCACTGGATTGCCCTCTTCCTTCACACAAACTGAAAATAAAGTCATCAGCATTCAGTGCACCTGATTGTATATAAAATTCCATTGCCATTTTCTTCAGCTATCTATTTTTCTAGCATAAAAGGCTTACTTTTTCCTGTGAAATTTGTTGCTACTTGTTTATTTAAAATACTTGGACAATAGATATGATTTATTGATGGATGGTAACATATCATGAAAAATTTTAATTCTTATATTGAACTATGATCATAGTTATCAATAAAGGTAAGTTTTAACATTTATTATCATCACTTCACTGAAAATATTTCAACTCACAACTATGGGACTTTTTTTTTTATATATGATATAGATTTCTTAAATAATTGTAATTGAAATATTTATTGTAAGTAGATTATTCCTCATACTCACAATGTCACATATATTACAGTACACTGTACATTATGATTACTGGGAAGATTAATATTAAATAAATTAGCACCTGTATTCACTTTTCCTGACTGACTGACTTCTTGTTGTAATGGTTAACAGAAAATTTTTCCATTCTCTGTTACCATCAACAAGAAATTTGATGCTTCATACTACTACTGTGCTGTATTCAGTTACAGCTCTACTGTACTAGTGATATAAATACATGACCTATTAAGGCACCTGATGTTCAGAGCCAAACTAAAAAAGTGTGATATTACAGGATATTAGGCGAGATTGGATAAAGTATTTAACACAGAATGATTGAAACTTTACAATATCTGTGTCTTTACTTTATCCTCTTCACCATTGGTTGGCATTCTAGCCAGCCAGGTTGTCAGTCATGCCTCTTTCACACACTGTTGGCAAATACAGTACTGTACCAGGTCCAAAATATACCTGAACTGCTGTGGGAGAATAAAGAGGACATCTTCCTCTTGTATTTGGCTCCTTTTAATTTTGGCCACAATCACTATTTTGTGATTTTCCATTAGTGAAGACATGTTGAAACAGCCTTTCATCTCCTTATTTTCTGGTTTCATTGAAGAAAGTGGTACTGTACCGATTTCATTTTGTGGCAGCCTAACCAATATGTAATAGTCTTCAGCAAATGTTTAAAGTGTTGCTCCAGAATACTTGTCAGTTAAAACCATGGTGATAGTCAGTAGCTGCTTTATGCTATATCAGAGTATTTTAAACAGGGTTACTGTTACTTCTTAAGGTGAAGTACAGTACAGTATTGAGCATCAGTCATACATGGGGAACTTGGAGGTACAGGTCTCAGACAAATGATAGTGAGCCAAGATACACATTAGTAAATTCTCATGTGTTTAGCAGTGTGTTGGGAATTTTTAGTGAGGGACACTGAAGTCATGAGTCTGAACATCTCCCTAAATGTTGAATCAACCAACCCAATTGTGCAAAATGTGTGTGATCAAATGATAATTATTATTTTAATATGAAAGGGTCACAAACATCATTTTCACATTTGACTTGATGAATCTAACTACAAAGTGTCACAACTGCAACTTGCTGGGTCACAGGTGAGACAGGTCATGTAAGGTCAGTGTGGGACAACAAGTGTTGATAATTGGGATACTGTACTGGGTCAGGCAGGTAATTTGAGGTTATGGACAATATTAGCATGTTTCCTGTGGTGAACAAGTTGTGTGAGGTCAGTACATGCCCAGTATTTGCCAACAGTGTGTAATAGAGACGAGACCGACCACTCAAATGGCCAATTAGTGGCAAAGAGGATAAAGTAAAGTACTGTACAGGTTAAAGATCAAGGAGGGGTAAATAATCATGCCTTTGTCACTGGCTTTCTGGGTACATTTCTTTCCAGGATATTTTTCAGAAACAACATGTTACTAAAAATATTAATAATAATAATAATGTAAAGATAATTTTTATTCAGTTTACAGTTGTCGGCGTGCAGTTCAACATGTGTATACAATGCAGGTAAACAGTGTACATAGACCTTGGAGGTAAAATATATGTACCACTTCCAATGTACCTAGATGGTGCAAGTACTGTATATAACAATAGTAAACAGCAAGGCAATTTGATGAAGGCTAGCTGACAAAGCCCTTAGATGTTTATTTCTATGGTGCTTTTTTCTCTGATGTAGGGATTCTTGACCACTTCATTTCCAATCATTAGCTAAATTTGTCTTGCGTCAGCCCCCCCCAATCCCTCCCCCTCCAGCACAGTAGAAGTTGTTCACATAAAATATGTAGGATAATTCATAATTGTGGACAAATAGCAAAGAATGATGTAAGTTTGTTGAGGGTCTCAGAGGCTTAACCTGATGTTAACTTTAACCAAATCAAAGCATTGCCATCACTCATAATATTGTGAATTTTATTACAGATCATATGTTTCAGATTGTTTTCTACCATATAAAACGCACAGACAATACTAGTAGACCAGCCTCAGTTCCTAGTATAAGGTAGGGTACGTTTCTTTGTATAACTTTTTTAGTTTTTGATGAATTATAGAGCTTGTCATTCATTATGTAAATCCAATTGTTTTATGTTATTATAGAAGTATATATACTGGTGACTTTAATGACACTCCCCTTCACACTGTCTGTGATACAATCTGTCCATGAATTGAGGTGTTGCCCAAAGTAAAAGCGTAAGTGCCAGTCTGATGTTTCGAGATATCTGTAATTAAGGCTTACATGTGCCTCGTGGAGATAGGCATTCTGCAGATTGTAGTCACCTGGTTTCCAAAAATCATCATGCACCATTTAACCATTTTGATGTCTCTTTTTCGATCTTCTCAAAACATTGCCATTATTAGGTACAAGGGAGCCCCACACCAGCAGCTGCCACATGCTGTGGTGTAAGCTATAGGTTTACAGTAAGTACTTATACCAACTGACAGAGAATTTAAAAAAGAGAATAGAAAAAATCTTATCTCAAATTTGCACATTTGGCACTTACACCCTTACTGTAGGTGATGCCTCAGTTGTTTAATAAAGTTGCAAAAATAATTTGATTGTATATAACCATCCTAATTGCAGTCTAACAAAAACAACTTGAAGAAGCAGCAATGGCATAGCAAGAGGAAGGGTGCAATGGGGGCATATACCCGAGGCACTGGGTTCATGGGGGGGCATCAAATTAACAACCAGAGTACTGTTCAGTACCAAGAATTTAGCCATTCCAATAAAGTTGTTTTTGTTATGCTTGACAAAAAAATACCTAAATTCTTTACAAAGTCCCTTTCCATAGGATTCAGTGCTTTTCTACACCCTGTGCCACTAATATTATTTGACCAACAGTTATCTTTCACATGAAAAATTCATGACAATATGGTAAAATACTGTACCATGGTAGGTAAGTTAATCAAAACTAGACTGGATCAACACTAGTGTGGGTACAGTTACATGTCTTGACATATCTCAGTGTACTAAATGACCACTCTACTTCACAAGTGAAGGCTGGAAGTGTCAAGGAAATCAGTAGGCCTTTTCAAATCGCAGGAAACAAATCGCACTGCTTCAGAAGATCTGTCAAGGACAAGGTTGCAATGGTGTAAAAGTTTCAGATTACCCCTCCCCCCCCCAGTTCAAGTTACTACTCAGTTGAGTGTCCATACCTGGAGCTGGCAGATACCCACCCCACAAGGTGTCACAGCTCAAGGTTGCAGAAGCCACTAGTCCAGAAAACTGTAGGGGCAAACTTTTCAGAGTGAGAATTGTGAACTCTTAGAACGATCTGCCAGAGAGTAGTTCAGGTACATTCAGGAGCCAGTGCATGCTCAGTACCTGCCAGCAGTGCATAACAGAGACGTGACCAATCGCCCAAGCGGCTAACAAGCCGATCTTTTGGTGAAGAGGATAAAAGAAAAGTAATCAGAGACGTGACCGATCACCCAAGCTGCTAACGAGCCGACCAGTGGTGAAGAGGATTAAGTAAATGTGGTATGCTGCCAAAAATCTTGGCAAAATCGAGGTACTGTATATATTGCCACCCTGTTCCAAAATTTGGATCCAAACATCCAGTACTTTCAGTCATTGTGTAAAACAGGAGCGTCCCGGCATAAAACTATGTAGGCACTCCTTTACAAAGTTGTTTCTAGTAGACCTTTAATCATGGCATCTATTATAATGCTCTCAAGTACTTTACACACTATGCTGGTCAAGCTCACTGGTCTATAATTATTCATGGAGTGACGATTGCCCTTCTTGATAATAGAACGCACTTAGCCATTTTCCAATTACTGGGGACCTTTTGCTCATCCAGGCATTTACAGAACAGGATCTTCAGGGGCTCAGCAAGCTCATTGCACAACTCTCTTATTACTCTAGGATGCACCATGCCAGGGCCGGGACTCTTTGACAGTTTATTTCGTATAACCTCTTCTGTGAACACAATGTGGGTCAGTGCTGTGTCGAACTGTCTGTCCTCAAATGCAGGAAGATTTATCGCATCCTCTCTTGTGAACACCGAGAAAAAAAAAACCTGTTCAATGCCTCAGCTTTGTTCTGGTCAGAATCTGCGTAACTCCCATCTTTAATCCTCAGGTCCGATATTCCTATTCATGTTTTTAATTTAAACTTTGCATAAAGGTAAAATGCCTTTGGGCTTGACTTGACCTCACTTGCAACCAGCCCCTGGAACGCCTTTTCAGCCCTTCTACAGTCTGACTGCTTGCTTCCTGGCTCTGTGCAGACATCCTCCTGTCCTGCTCATCGTTTGGCCCAGCCCACGCCTTGAATTTCTGGGTTTCTTCTTTACTTTGTCGATTTTTATAGGTTAGGAACGGTTTTCAATGGTAGGTATGGTGTTCTTTACTTCATCACCTATATTAATCTGCAACGAAAAACATAGGCTAAAGCAATTCATGCTATAAATGGTAACATTTCAATGTAAAACATTTTAAGTTTAAAGGGCTATAATGTTTTTTATTCACTTCTCCCCTCCAAATAAAATTCACATTTTGAGGGATTTTGTAATCCGCATAAAAATCTACATTAGAAAAAAATTCAATTTTTTGAGTGTGGTATGTGAAACTGAAGAGACATTAACACTACCAACGAATAAAATAAGAACATATATCAACTGCTCATCAACACCCTTGATTTAATCTAGGTTTTTTATATACCTCTAATTTATTTATATCGTAGCCAAGTGTTAGAGACGTTCAAAACTGAATTTAATAATACATCGTTTATGAAAAGGTGATGATAGCTATTATATTAAATGAATTATTCAATCAATATTTTCTAGTAGAAAATAAAAGGGTAGAGGTTAGTACCTTACTTATTCTGGTAACACTGACAACAAGTCAGCTGCTCCAGCCGGTCTTCTGATGGGGGGTACTCTAGCCCATACACGAGGTTAATGTTATCAAGCTACCACGTACATAATTATTACACTAGTTTTTCAAATGACCCTAATAATAATAGACTTTAATGAAAAAACAGACTTTAATGAAAACAAAAATTACAATTGGTCAAATAAAAGTATATTTAACCGAAAATTTAATACTAATTTAACTATATTTGCCAAATGTTGCCTATAGGGTGCTCGTGATAATCTCTAAACATGCATCATCTTGTGGTCGGGGTGAGGAAGGTAAACATTGGAGGTCTCACCAAACGCATGAAACACCACAATGGGCACCGTACACGCAAAAGTAAGTGTCAAACAACCTTATATTACACTCTACAACACTATAGTCTCCTAAAGTGTGATGTAATCGGTAAAGAAAATATTGTCGGATCCTGAAACAAGAATTAACACGTTGAGGAATTTTTAGACTTTCACTAATGATGTTACCAAAAATACGTACCGTAGGGAGGTGGATAGGTAGATAGATTCCTATATAAATATTCAGACGTGGATAGATATATAGGTAGATAGATATGGTAAAATTTCACTTGTTCCAGAAAATGTCTAAAATTTCACCTTATAGTAAGTTCTTTCTGTTTAATATACCAGGAAAGTTAGGTAAGGTTAGGTAGGTTTGTTTGGTTAGGTCAGCACAATGGATTATGAAGAATCTGTGTAATAATAACATGGATTAGCATTAGAAAGATCTACTTATTCTGATCTAAGATTTTGTAACTGAATTGATAAGTAAAATTTAAATTCAGTTATTGGGGTTCAGTAATTTTTAGTATGAGGCTTTTCTATGTTCTTAATCCTGAGAGTAGTTAAATAATTGTAGGTATTAAGTGGCTGGGTTTACGATTACCAGGTAAAGTGGAGTTATGAGTAGAATACTGTAGAGGTTTTTGGTCAACGTCTCAAAACCTAAACAATAGCGCTATGTGTGCCAATTCTCCAGCACCTTAAGAATTCTTAGCTTTTGGTCTAGGTAATGATTCTTATTAATTCCCTTTTGTGGCCATCTGGTTCTGTCTCAGATATTCTCTCTCTCTCCAATCAGTCTGTCACTCCGAGATCAGCCATTAGTTTGGATAAGACAATAGAATGTGATCATTGTTTGGTTTGGAAATTTTGATGTTGTCTTTTTAAAATTATGATTAAAATGTTTGATTAGACAAATTTGAAAAAAAAATATGTTCATTAGTATGAGTAAGACCTTTAATTATACACAAATAAACAAATGAGCAATGCTGGTTACCTGGGGGTTAGATTAGATTAGGTTAGATTGAAATGGGTTAGGTTTAGTTAGGGTAAGTCAGGTTGTAGGTTGTATTAGGTTAGGTTAGCATTGGGGTAGGGTATGTTTGCATTAAGGTAGATTAGGTTAACATAAGGATGGTTAATCTCAAGGTGAACAATGCTGAGGTGTCTAATATTCAAGTGGTTCAGGGATACATTTGCTTGCTAGTGACACACACATTTAAGCTTCATCAACACTTACTTGCCAAGATTTTAATGCCTCTAAATTTTCAGAGTCCCGAGGCAGATGAGGGTGAGAACATCAGGATGGACCTTCAGGCTCTAAAGGTAAGCTTTCACAACCTGGAATATATATAGATCAGTGTACGTACCGGTATAGAACAATGTACCTGTAGGTATTTTGGCCTTGTTAGAAGTACATTAAAAATGTGTAATTTTGACTAGCTTCTTTTTTTTTTAATAATAATAATACCCTGTAATAAATGGTTTATTGAAAGAACATGGCAGCCAAAAGGCTGAAAATATACAATAGACAAAGTTGAAAAATGTTACATAATTTTGGAGGGGGTCACTTAATTGACAAGTAATATATAAGTATTGTTAGTGATACTAATATAATATCCACTGTATAATGAGAAAGGGGAGATGGTCATTTATCAGGAATTTCATAGTACACCTAGTTATAGTACAAAATTGAGAATGGCAGGGGGTGAACACAGGTTAACTTAAGAGTTGTTGATAATTTTTTTACAATGGTTGGAATTGGGTTGTTCTTATCACAATTAGTGCATGGTCATATGGGCTGGATACAGTTATAGTGTGAACAGGTGTCAGTTTACTGAGTATTTCTTGATATGTGAAGTAGGAAGGAGAGAGAACAATCTTACACTCCCTCTTCTGCACTTTTTAGGAGTCCTAACTGTGTGGCATTTAGGAGGAAGACCAGGCAGAGGAAGCATGAGTGAGCTTGGGAAGTATAAATGTTGAGTAAGCACTGAGGAACTCAGGTGCAGGAACTCCGAGGGACTTGAGGCAATAGAGGAAGTGGAGGTGAAAGCCTGAGGATTTGACAATTGGAGGAGTTCACAACTAAGAATGTGTTGGGGCCCAATGTGATACAGGGCAGTGGGACATGGTCAGAGGAGAGGTTGATGTGCATACTCATGGTCTTGTTATGGTTAATGATGACATGGTTGTTGGTGGCCCAATTTTAGAGACTGTCGAGTATACAGTATTTTCAGGAGGCACTAGTCAGGAGCCGAGTTATTCACACTGATCCCAATGATGGGGTCATCAGCATATTTCCATCAAGCAGGAGTTTCTCATGGCATCATTGATGAGGATATGTGTGTGTGTGTGTGTGTGTGTGCGCATGCATGTGTGTGTGCATGTGCATGCATGTGTGTGTGCATGTGTGTGCGTGCATGTCATGGCCCTATTACAGAAATCGAGAATCATCTTTTTGAGTAAGTAATTATTATTTTGTTTTCTCCTTCATACTCCTGAGAGTGGTGGAGCTTTTAGTAAGTTAATGTATAGATGCTATTTTAAATTATAATGATTCATCCTTATCATTAACCTTTGCTGGTACAGTACAGTGTTTAATTTATGGTATTTCTTATTTCAGGCTCATGTTCAGCGTGTACATGTTGATGGACTGGCCCGCACTAAGGACGACATTGTCATCAGTACTGTACGAGATGTATTTAGTGCCCAGGACTTCCAGTCTGTAAGTATGAGGTAATTTTTCATTAAGGTATTTGAGGGGTAAGAAGACGGTATTGTGGATTGAAAGATAAAAGGATGACATGATGGCTGATGCTTTGAAAAGTTATTAAATGTTGTGATATTAGAAAATCATCTATTGTCCATTGAGCATCACAACCACCTATATCAACAACCTTCAGCACCATGAACCAAAAGCACCACTAACACCATCATCTACCACTACCACCAACTCTATATATTACCTGGTTTCATCTCACATATCCTCAGTCTGTGACCACTGTCCACACTCCTTACCATCCATACTACCTCTCATTCCAACTCCCGTATCCTCATACATATCACCATCTGTTAATGTTCACTGTTATTAGTTTAATTCACAGATGGGGAGGAATTTACAGTATATATATATATATATATCTTGACAAATTCACACGTAAGAAACAACGAGTACCTTATTCAAGACTTATCTTATCCACGTTTTCATTGTGGATTTACATGAAATATATATATATATATATATATATATATATATATATATATATATATATATATATATATATATATATATATATATATATATATATATATATATATATATATATATATATATATATATATATATATATATATATATATATATATATATATATATATATATATATATATATATATATATATATATATATATATATATATATATATACAGTTGTACCCCACTTAACGCTGTCAATAGAACCCAGAGGGTCCCGTGTTAAGTGAAATCCGCGTTAAGTGAACAACAGAACATATGGGATTAATTCCAATAGAAACCGGCCCGACCCCCAAACTCCACTTTTTGAAGACACATAAGAACATAAGAACATAAGAACATAAGAAAGTGGGATACTGCAGGAGGCCGACTGGCCCATGCAGGGCAGATCCCTTTCACACCCATCCCAGCACTTCCATGTGCCTATCCAACTTCGTCTTGAAGCTCCCTAGCGGCCCCGATCCTACTATAGCACTCGGTAGCCTATTCCACATATCCACAACTCTATTACCAAACCAGTGCTTGCCTATATCCTTTCTGAATCGGAATTTATCTAATTTAAAGCCATTTGTTCTAGTTATTTCGTTATTACTGAGCTTCAGAACATCTTCCATTTTACCCTTGTTAATCCCACTTACCCAATTATGTTGTAGTAAAAAATAACATCTTAATTTTATGATGGTACATGCACGCAATTAATACTTAAGAGAAATAGAGAAATACAGTCGCCAAGTTAATGTCCATTCAAATAATGGACTCAACTCCCTCCCCCTCTCACACTACACTGCCGGCTCTTCCCTCTCTGAGAAATTTTTGGGGGAAAACCACTAAATTTTAATAAATAATACCTCAAACTAAAGTTAGGATAATACAATTGACATTGCTGGATTCCTTGTAAGACCAGGAATATTTTGAATATAAATGTCATATATTTTGCACAAAAGATAACATAGTTACTCAGAAAATTTTTTTATCTAAAATTTGTATGTCTAATGCAAAATATATGATGTTTATATTCAAAATGATCACCAAATTATAAGAATTCCAGCAATGTAAATTATATTCTGGCCGGGTAATTTGTATGAATTTTATGAGCTAAAACAAATATCTTCAGTTAATAAAAAAAAATAATCTTCACGACACTATCTGTCAATCAAAGTACCCCACCTTGCCTCCCCCCCTCTTCCAACCGCGCGGTCAGTCCCAACCCTCCCCCCCACCCCCCACCAAGAGAAAGAGTGGGTGAAAAAAATAAATTTTAACATTTTGTATTAAATAATACCTCAGATTAAAGTTAGGATAATATAATTGACATTGCTGGATTCCTTGTAAGACCAGGAATATTTTGAATATAAACGTCATATATTTTGCACAAAAGATAACATACTTACTCAGATTAAACATTTTATCTAAAAATTTTATGTCTAATGCAAAATATATGATGTTTATATTCAAAATGATCATCAAATTATAAGAATTCCAGCAATGTAAATTATATTCTGACCGGGTAATTTGTATGAATTTTATGAGCTAAAACAAATATCTTCAGTTAATAAAAAAAAAAAAATATTCTTCACGGGTAACAGATGGTCGGTCGGTCCCTCCCTCCCCCCCACCCCCCACCAACCGTCCCAAGGAGATGTGTGGGAAAACCAGAATACTTAACTTTTTTGTAATAAATAATACCTCAAACTAAAGTTAGGATAATATAATTGACATTGCTGGATTCCTTGTAAGACCAGGAATATTTTGAATATAAATGTCATATATTTTGCACAAAAGATAACATAGTTACCCAGAGAAAAAATGTTATCTAAAATTTGTATGTCTAATGCAAAATATATGATGTTTATATTCAAAATGATCACCAAATTATAAGAATTCCAGCAATGTAAATTATATTCTGGCCGGGTAATTTGTATGAATTTTATGAGCTAAAACAGGCAGTCAGGCAGGGTGGCGGTGGGGCAAATCTAAAAATAGCGTCTGGAGCCGGACACTCACCGCGTATATGTGGAAAAAACCGTGTTAAGTGAAAGTTCTGGCGCAGGCAATCACAGATATATATACAGTGGGGTATGCTATAACGAATGGATTCTATTACGAATATTCCTATAACGAACGGTTTTACCTATAAAATTGAGAATGCTATAACGAACGAAACTCCTACAACAAAATTTTTTTTCTTTTGTTTTTTTACTAATTTATTGTTTTTTTATTACAAGTATTAATTATATTCTTTATTTCAGGGGTTTAGATGCATATTTATGCACTTTTTTACAATTTTTTTCAATTTTATATTATATTTTTCAGTGTTAAGTGGTTGTATTTGGGGGCCTGGAACGGATTAATCCTATAACGAACGAATGCTATAACGAACAAGGTTCTAGAACCAATTAGATTCGTTATAGCATACCCCACTGTATATATATATCCCCGACTTACGACCTGCCTCAGTCGTACCAAAATTTTGTCAAATTACGTATTTTCGAGTCCCAACGTCAGTACACAGACAAAATTTTCGTTTGTAATTAACTTTAAAATGGCTGGCAAGCTTAAAAGTGAGAGTTTTATGGTGCTGAGAAGAAAAAGAGACACCCATTTTAGAATTTCTATGTATTATTAAAGCATTTTCGACTTACTGCCATTTCGACTTACGACCTGGATTTGGGTCCTTAACCCCGTCGTAATCTGATAAAATCACACAGGAAAAAGGGAAACAATGGAGCACCTTAGCTTTCGTTTTTATTCAAGACATCTTCAGAGGCAACTGAATTACAAAGACCAAGAGAGGCTTTAGTAAACAAGGTGACTTTACTAAACATGAGGTCAGGTCATAAACACGACATCCACTAATGCGCACACCAACATCACCACACTTAACATGTGGGGAGGGTGTGTTTGTTTGGACCAGTTGTGTGGACATGTATTGACGTCTGTTAACCTGGGTACTCTCAATGTTTTCCTCCTTTTCATCAAGATCTTTGCTTGTCTGTATTGGCTCACAGATTTGGTCACAATCATCTTTGCTCTCTTCCTAGGCTCCAAACAGTCCACCATTCTGTCAACTGAGCTACTGAAGAAACATTCAGTGTGTGAGATCTGTGGGTAATCTAGTGATAATATTGGACTCTTGACTGATATGCAATTAGTACAGTATTGGATTGGCTAAATTTTTTTGTGTAGTTGACACTGGCAGTTTAGATGGTGGATAGTCAAAACTCCACTACTGTATATGATAAAAGTATGTTTTGTTTTGTGTTGCATTGCAGATATAATATCCAATAAAGAATTTAAGATGATGAAAATACACCAGACTGATATATCAATGTCAAACAAGAATTACCTTTTATTATATTTAATTTAAGTTTTACATCTTTGCAGGTCATATTGAAAATTCATGAAGCCAGAACAAGATTATCAAAGTTGGGATGTTTTAAGGATGTGGGCGTCTTCATCGACACTTACGAGGGACCTGACGCTGTTGAGGATGGTATTGAGGTGGGCAGTAAAGTGTGTTTTTTAGAGGATCTTCCAATATGTGTAACCTGTGTGTGCACCTTGAGACATACTGTGGTGTAGGGTGTTCATGGAATTATATATTATAAAGTGAATCAAGCAACACACCTTGTTTAATGAATAAGGTTCTTAGAAAGCTTTTACACCTGTAATATTTTTAGTTATAAGTAAGTTATAACTGCTGGTTGCACCCTAAGATGTGTTTTGGAGCTTATCTATAAGCATTGTTTAGATTGGGTAGATGCTGGGCATGTGATGGGTGAAGGAAGAGTTGTGTGTGTAGCAGTGTTACGATGGTGAATTTGTTATTTTGTTGTTATTAGGGTATAGGGAAGGGTGTTGTTCACAATGTAGTGTGGTGAGAAATATACCCCTCTTGGGATAGTGGGTTTTACGATGTGGCCGTCTGGTGGAGGTGTATACAGTTATATCTGGAGTGTTGTTTGATGGAGGAGGCTGCTGAGTTGATATGGGTTTATTTGTACAGTAGATGGTTGTATTGGAAAAGTAGGTGGAATGTTGTTGACTTGTTGAAGGTATGGGAGTTGTGTTCTGCTGGGGGGTGTTTTGTGTCTCTGAGGAGAGGGGTAGATTAGCATGAACCTGCAGGGATGAGCGAGGTGCAGAAGCAATTAACTCTGTGCCCTGATGTTAGGTGGTCTTGTAAGACAGAATTCTTGTTTCATAATATGAAATTATATGTGGGACAGATAGACTCATGGCTTATTTGAGGCAGATTAGGGGTAGTGTGAGTACAGCATTGACAACTACATGAATATATAGTGAGGCTGTACCCATTCTGACTTGGATCAATTGGGGGTATCCCAGACTCAAAGCATCGACCAGATGCAAGTCCTGCATCCATCTGTTATTACACTAAGGACTTCATCTGGGTCTTAAAACCTTCTGGTGTTTTGGAAGGTGATGTTACTCAGGTAGAGCCTGAGCTGACACTGTTTATTGTGGTATTCATGAATTGTCTGTATGCTGCTGTTGTTTTTTTTCTAAATGTGGTGTTTGTGGGTATTTTAAATTTATTGGATTTCCCCAGGGACTTTGAGTTTTGGTGTTTGGTTGTTGTGTGAATGACATATTTGTGTCTTGTGGGACACAACTCACAAGTTAAATTAAACATGTACTATACACTTATTCCTTGTTATCCGAATCTTCGGTATCCAAAAATTTTATTCTTACACCTCTCTTATTCTTCAAAAGCAATCCTCACTTATCTGAAAGATACAGTACAGTATGTTTTATTTAGTTAACCAATTACTGTACAGTAATTAGTTACCAAATTACAGTAGTTAGGTAGGTATTCTGTTGTAAACCGGTTTTTTCTCCAAATATAGTACAAGTATTAGGGTTTTCTTGTTGTTGGGTCTGTAGGAGGTTCTTTTGGATGTTAGTCTCAGTAATCTTTTGATCACTTTCACCTTTAATTTGTCGGCAACAGAGAGGGTAAGAATAATATGCATCAGTTCTATATAATACATGTATTTACATTTCCATCACCCTGGGTACAAATTCAGTAAATATGAATCACTACAGAGGTGCGAGGAGTGGTTGAAGTTAGTAGTTCATGTCCTGCTGTCAAGTGTTCCAGGTAAACCGTGCCAGGAGTACGAGTCTAACCGTTCCTGTCACAGGATATAGCGCCAGCAGAGGGAACAGCACACGCTTGAGGTGTCATGACAAATCCACAGAGAAAAGGTTGTACAGTAACAAAAATTACAGAACATAAGAATCTTTGGTTATACTATATGACAAGAGGTTTCTTCATTTTTAATATATACTGTGATCTTAAGAGTGACACTCATGAGCAGCCAAAGCACAGTGCTCACACGAGCAAGTGTTAGTGGTGAAAAACAAACCTTGAATCCATCAATCCCAGACATTACCTTCCCTGATACCTCCGCATATGCACTGTTGCATAAGGGATCACTTACAGATGGCTAATTAAATACCTGTAAAAATTATTAAACAGTTGAAAACATATACAAATTAAATATACAAACAATCAAATACTAGAAGTTACAAATAAAATAAAATGTAATCAAAAACATATTACAAATTCAAGCATTGATCATTTAAATATATAAGGTACCATTCACTTTTGAACATGCTGCAGACTTTATTTGTAGAATCATAAACACACGTTTTGCAGAGGGCAATTTTGTGCGAACTGAGAAGCAGGCTTTATTGCATCCACTTTTTAAGAAACTTGGTCTTGATACTGAAAATGTCAAATTATTGTCCAGTTTCTAATCTCTCCTTATTAAAGATCACAGAGTGTGCTATGCTGGATCAGTTACTTCCTCTGTTAAAAAGAAATCGAGTGATCCTTCTGGACCAGTTAGCCTATAGAAAGCATGAATCAACTGAAACTGTCTTATGTAGAATTTATATTATTAGGATTGATGTTTGGCATTGAATATATGGATAATGGGTTAGAGATACCTGAACCTACTGAATCTTGGACTCCTGCCTTGAAGCTTCACTGGTTGAAAGAGACAACTGCAACTTAATGGTTCAGAACCCTGATTCAATTGGATGAGAAACCTGCTTTCAGCATAAACATTGTCCTCATGGTTGTTGTACCTGACACCAAGAAGTCTATGCTATTTGGCAATGACAGGCTCAGCTTGGGGCAATTAGAAGTGGTGCATCTCACAGTTTGGTAATTTTTTACTTTGTGAAATGGGATTTCATATTTCAGGCCTTCATTTATGACCAAGGAAATGCATGAGTGACTTGGAGCTCCTCCCTTTAGTAATGCCTTGATTTAGCAGGGGACTGAAAGTTGGGACACAGTTGTGACTTGAATCCTTGTTATTGACTGAGACAGTTACAAAATGTGAAACTGATAATGATTGTAAAAGTTGAGACAGAGACAAGGCATCTTTGCTTGCAGTAAACCATTGTCTACATGGATAATATCGTTCTCTTGGTAAAGATTATCTGAATTTTTGGGTGTTGGCAGGTTGTGCCCAAGGATATATGATGGTGACACCTCTTACAGGTCACTCACTTGTTTCTTGGTTATATAAAGGATTTTATGCCTTAATCTTTCTTTCCGGGCTTGTTGAGACAGATTTTTAAGTTATATAGGGACGGATTATTGTTTTTTTACTGTTTTACTCCGTTGGTGACAGAAAATTTTATGAAGATTTTTTTTATATCTGACATAATACATGTACTGTATATTACAGGTGACATTTGAGGTGCGTGAAGTAAACTTCATGGGAGCTAAGGTGAACACAAGTGTTGGAAACAACGAAGGTACGGTGTCAACGGGAGGCTTGTTGAAGAACATATTTGGACGAGGCGAAGAGCTGAGCTGCGAATATTCTCACGGCACGAAGAAGTCTTCCTCCTTCTTCACTACTTTCACTAAACCTTTCCATAATGAAGCCAGCACTGTGTAAGTTCAATATACTTTTATATCTTTGAAACTTCTTTGTTCACTTAAATGGCTCTGTATTAAAATCAACCCTTGCTGCTTGAATAATACATTTACTGATCCAGTACAGGCAGACCTTGTTTTATGAGAGCTTTTTCAGGAATGTGACCCTCTCATAAATCAGGTCTGCCAGTATCAACACTTAATGACTGGGGTTATCTCATCTTTTTATTCCTTAAGAAAATGAGAAAAAATTTATTAAAGCCATTAAAAAGGAACTTTTTATGCACAAAAGTTAAATAACAAATCACTTTACCAGAATAATGTAGTATTGTGTTTTGGTACAGTACTTCTACTCTGGGTAACGATGTCTGAACTTTTAACATTGTATGTAAAGATCTGTTGCTCCTATTTTGTTTTGATCTGTATTTCCAGTTGCTGGGGTTGTACTAAGTAAATAAACATTTTGAAGTTAGATTACAGAGCATATATTACATCCTAGTCCTCATGTAAGTTTATAGTAAAGGCAACTGTGAACCAAACTAATTTTTTCCCAATTAATTGTTAAGAATCTTAGTCAGAATCAGTTGTATCGTGTGAGGTTCAGAAACATAATCATGCTGTCCTTCATGTTTTCACTCTACTCTATTTATATATCGTAAGGAAAGTCGAGGTGTTCTAAATATACAATAAAAGACATAAAATTCACTTGGTAAAATTTGTGTTAATAATTGTTTCAACTAAGTATTTCTTTTCTCTTAGTTTTACAAGCAGTGTGTACCAGCAAGGGACTGAAACCCCTTGGTCAGGCTACAAAGAGCTCGACCGAGGCGTCTTGCTGACTTTAGCCTTCAACTCTGCGCCTAATGTACGTACAAGTAATATAAGGGGTGTCCATTAATTATTATCTGACTTATTATAAAACTTAATAACCTTAAAAATATTAAATAGAACACATCGGTTTCATTATACTTGACAAATAACTCATAAGCTTTTTCTTCTTCTAATATACAAATCCCTTTCTCTCTTGTATGATAACTACTCTCTCACACTTACCCTTTCACCACTGTATGATAACTACTGTACTTTCTCACATGCATCTTCACTACTATATGATAACTACTCTCACACTCACACCTTCACTACTGTATGATAACTACTGTCACACCCACACCTTCAATACTGTATGATAACTACTCTCACACTCACACCTTCACTACTGTATGATAACTACTCTCACATATATACACCTTCACTGATGTCCTTACACCTCAATCACTCCCCCACAGCTGGTAGTTAAAGCTGTAATTATGACTTTATCTTTCAAGACATATGGTTCTTTTCTCCTCCTCTTGTTTCTTCTCTTCTTTCCCATTTCTTTTTTCATATTTCAAGTTACAATACAAGTCATTCATGCATTTTTGAGTTGATAGTGTTACATCTTATTGTCCATTGTACCTGTCTTCTTCTTATTATACCACACTGGCATCAGCATTATCATCTTCTTTCCCCTTTTACAATTTTATATTTGGTTCATTAACTTAAAACAACAAGTATATGCATTAGTGTGTAGTATTCTTCTTGTAATAGATATGTTTTTGTCCATAGTTCATCACATTTTAATAGATAAGACCAAGTTTTGGGGGTAATGTACTTGGTAACAAACCCAGCTCACCTCAACAGAATAGTGTATGAGTATTTTTTTTTTCTTAATATGGGTCGACAGATAAAGGCTGTTGAAAATCAGTTTTTTCATTTGATATTCTATTAAATTTTGTCCATGCAAGACACAATGCTGCATACAATGTTATTTAGCACCCCCCCCCCCCTTTGCCCCTCTCCCTCACCCCTACTAGCATACAAACATTGTTATTTTGTTGATGCTGCAGAGATAAAAGGTCACAGATACTGGAGGGATACTTATTGCATTTGTTTATGGTCTGAATCTTCCTTCTTACATCTTCCCTCTACAGTCACCACTTTAAAGTACTGTACTGTATGTAACCACCAATCAGACGGTTAGAGGATGAATAATACTTCTCACGTCGTACACGAACACTATAATTCATGTACGACGTGAGAAGTATTATTCACCCACTAACCGTCTGATTGGCGGTTACAGTCAAACGTGTTGAAAGTCTAGAGAGAAGCCAGGGTAGGTGTTGACTCTAAGATATGGGTAGCTATACTGAAATGCCCACCATATAGCCTGGCCCCTTGGCTGGTCAGCTATGGCTGAGTCAGGTGATTATAATTATACATAAACAAACTCCCTTCACACCCTCCAACCTCCTTCTGGGCCTCTCATCTTCAGCCATCTCAACAGTCTACATTGTGAGTGACAGCCTAACATAACATTTGTTTATATGTCATCATAATTATGTACCGCTTGCGGTAACACTGTATATGGATGGATAAAAAGGCATGGAAGACACTGTGTACAGTATAGACTAAACTGCTACAGATTATTTTTGTTATCAACAGGTTCAGCAGAAACTGATTCTTGATGGAGCCTGGCGACACCTCACCTGTCTCTCAAGATCTACCGCATTTGCCGTCCGTGAACAAGCAGGCCATTCTCTCAAATCAGCCCTAAGACATGAGCTTTCTGTCGACAGGAGAGATGATTTGGTTTTCCCCACTGATGGTGTTGCCTTCACTATTAAGGTTTGGATAGATTGTATGTAATGTATTTCTTTGTATTTTAAGTGTGGTTTGTGAATGTTTTTTCTAGAAATACAGTAGGTATCCAGTTTATGGCCAACATACCCTGGTTAACTACCAATGAGACCCCAGCACACTGAACATGCTCAAAAGGAAGCCCAAATCCAATTCTTTTGATCGTTCTCAAGTTGGGTAATCTTAAAGTCATGCTATCACCAAATGACTGTTACCAAGTACAGGTTGACAATCCCTTATCCGAAATCCTTGGGGCCAGATGCATTTCAGATTTCGGAATTTTTTCGGATTTCAGAATGGTTAGTTTAGGTTTCTTTTTTCTTTTTTTCCCAGGGATCAGCCCACCCGGGCACAGGTCACTGTTGATCTTTTTTTCATTCTTATATTTCCTTGTTAATATTATTATTATTTTATTGTTACAGTATTATTGTTATTATTATTATTGTTGTTATTATAATTATTATTTTATTTTTTGTATTTTTTATTATAAATTTTATTATAATTATTATTCAATTTTCGCCCCCCAGGCCCTGATCTGGGTCAGTGACCTGTGCCTGGTTGGGCTGATCCCTGTTAAAAAAAGAAAAAAAATTTTGCTCCACAAAAAACTTTCTGTTTTCAGAGGTTTTCGTTATTTCGGATAAGGGGTTTAACTAATTATGTTAACTAATTACCCCATAATCGAATCGTGGACTATATATTTGAAATCAGCATGCACTGGAGTACCTACAATGTGATTTTCAACAAAATCAAATTTTTGGGTCAAAACTGTCGAAAAGGTAAGTTTTACCCCTTGGCAATTTTTTGCCCAAAATATACTTTTTTCACAGAATTGAAATTTAAGGGGTTTAACTAATTAAGTACTTACAGAATAACGCATTAACACCCAAATCGCACTTTGGAAACTCATAGTTGGCGAGTAATTAGCATTAAGAAATGTAATTAAATTCTCCAAGGGTCATTACAGCCACTAATTACCCCGCAATCGAATCGTGGACCATATACTCGAAATCAGCATGCTCTGGGTTACTTATACAGTACGTTAAATATGGCTTGATATTTTGTTTTACCCTGGTATGTCCATAGATTTATTGGTCCTCCTCTACCCGGTTTTGTGGTATAACTCCGAAACTATGGGAGTATTGACACTATGGAAATGGAGTCATTTATCTTTTACCCAATAACTGTTCCTCTCCCCGATTGGGGATTGGCATTGCTGACAGCTCCTGTCCATGATCGGGTATCAAGATGTACAGTCAATGACAAAAGTCGTGTCATGAAATTTGGTGAAAACATATGCCGAAGGGCTAAAAATTTTGGTGTGCTCTGCCTTGTGGTAGGGCTCTCATAATGTTTCATGAGTTATGTTTAATCTTCGGTCAAAACTGCGACACTACTTTTGTCTTTGACTGTACATGCCAATTTTTCAAACACTGGCCCAAGCCACCTACGCATCATACAGTACAAGATTTTATAGTATTCGAGTAGTGGTGAAATGTGTGTGCCTTTTTTTTATTGTACTGTAATAAAATATTGTATACCCCAGATAACATTACTGTATAATAAGTATGTTCAATAATTGGTGAAGTAAAGCTACTTATATAATTTAGTCATAGAAAACTGACACACATGTCCTGATGCCTCCACTTAACACCCCACCACTACTGCTACCCTCCCTCTCAGCCCCCAGGCCCCACCCCAGTGTGGGACCTCCCACACTAGCTCACTTCACTCCTCTGTGGCCTGCTATTCAATGCAAGTACAGCTTTTATACTCTGTTTATTATTAGATTTTGAGAACTTTGAATATCCTTGAAGTAATATGCACATGAGGAAGGGTCACATTGACATAATGGGCAGTTAAAGGGTTAAGTATGTCTCAGGATTACACTTTCTATATTATGAAACATATTTCCAAAACACCCTGTATACTGCCATGATATATTGTGTTGTCAATCTGTGGAAGTCATGTGTTGTTAATTACATTCATCTTCCATTTCTCGGCATGTTCCATATCTTGTCAGTTTCTCACTGTCTCACTAAAGTCTGTAGGATTATGACCAAAAACCGGGGATGAGTGACCAAGATCTCATCCATCTCCCTAGAGTTAAGTTTTAGAGTGCTAAGTGGAGCACAAAAGCCCCATTTGTGGGTTTTCAGAGGTGCAGTGATTATTGAAACTAACTCACCACTCTCTGGTTCATTGAATGGTAGCACAAAATGTAGAACTTCAGTCTGTAGAAACCAAAAACTTTTGCAGTTGGAAACCATAGAAAATGCATATTCTATGGTTTCCAATTGCAGAAGTTGGGAATGACTATCTCTAGTTCTCTCATTTTACTGGAAAACTGGAACATAACCCAGTCATGTAGGTGGTGTCCATAACTTTGATGATGCAGCACATGAGTTACTCAGTTTCTTACAATAGACATCTAAATGACTTCAGGGTATCTTTTGATATTAGCTGTTCATGGATACAGTGAGTGATGGTGTTACTATACTCTAGATTTAATATACTGTATATGATTCACACTTGTACTCTTAATGTTTCAGAATGAATTGGCTGGTTTGGGAGGTGATATTGGTTTCCTGAAGAATGAGTTAGATATGCAGGTAAACGTTCCTCTGCCGAAGGAGATGGTAAGTTTTGATTCATTCTGCTCGTGTGTACAGTACAGGTGGTCATAAGGGAGCAGCCTCTTACCCAGTTGACAGTAGTACTTTGCTTCATTTACACAACCATTTTCTCAGACTTAAAAAGTATCCTTTATATTGAATCACTTGAAGATTAGACCCCTAGTATGGTATGTTGTGGTGAAACATGGGTTAGCATTATAACAGAAATATATTAGCTGTGCCCTGCATCTGGGGTTAACAGGAAGGTTTGTAATGACTTGAGACATCAGTGGCTGAGAACTGGATTGTGGTAGAAAGAGTGAAGTTCTCTGGAATGGTGTGGACTTGTGAGAAGGGTGTAAGAGGGGAGAATGGTAAAGACGTTGTGCACAGATGCAGTGAAGAGATGCATTAGGTAGAAAGAAGAAACTGTATTTAAAGGAGAAAATATGGGAAAGATAGGACAAAGGAGATGTGTACAGTTGTGATGAGGTGGCCTGGAGGCTCTGAGGTGTGTCACATAAGGATTCATTAGAAAAATTCATATTACCTAGTACATATATACTTTGTATGTTTAATGAGATAAATCTTTTCTTTTCCACACATTTTTGTTTTGAAATTTTAATGAGTTGCAGTCTAAGGGATTACCAAAACAGCATGTGATGTTATTCAGTAAATGTTTCAAGTGTTACTTCAGTGTTTGATCTTAGGATTTTGTGATGGGATGAAGTGTTTAGGGAAGATTGTACATGTGGCTGCCCAAGTGTATGAGTATGCAAGCCTTACTAAGCCAGTACACAAAAGTTATGTTGCTTTATTTGCAGGTCATCCAGGGATCTTTGGTAGCGGGCCATCTATTACCACTTCGTAACAACAAGACACACTGTATCACCGACCGCTTCATGTTAGGTGGCCCCATGAATGTTCGAGGCTTTGAAATGGCTGGCATTGGCCCTCATAGTGATGGATGTTCACTGGGAGCTGAGGTAATGTATTTTATAAGTACTTTTGCTTGTTTTTTATTCTTTTTCATTTTTTCTTTCTTTCCTCCAACACTTATTGTCCAGTTGATATCTGAGAATGGTTGGGTCAAGTAATATCTGGCATAAATTACTTTGAATCTTTGATAAAATGTGACCAATAATAATTTCAAAGGCTTTGTGAAAACAATAATAATATTTTGTTAATATTGATAACAATATTAACAAAATATTACAATCAAGACAATTATTATTTATGCACTCACTACTACTGACATATGTTGAGATTCACTAGAAGCTACTGGGATGTATACAAACTCATTTAACTCACTTATTTATTTAAAGTACAGTATGCATACAGTATACTGTACAGTACAGGTTGGACCTCGCTAATCCGGGAAGCTTGGGACCAGACCGCTTCCAGATTAGCGAAAATTTTGAAACATCGAAGCCGAGGTTAGAAAAAGGCAAAATAATGCATAAAATGTACTATTACTGGTACCAATACAACTTACATCAGCATAAATCTAGCCCAGGCTTACTGGACCTCTTAATGACAAAGTGTTAGTGCTATGGCACAAGTTTACTGGACACTGGAACCTCGCTTTATGCACATTCACTATACAGTATGTATGTGGATTCACATATATGTACAGAACTAAACAAAGAATTTAATTGAAATACTCTTAACATTCAGTACCATAATATCCTGACCACTGGGGTTACTTATACAGACTTTTCCCTGTGAAAAGCCATAATTTTGAGGAACATATTACTGTACTTACTTTGTACTCAAATGTACTAAGCAAAGGACTAAAATTTTTATCTCGTGCAAACTATGAGATGTTATACTCAAATTAATTGCTATCTTGCGAGGATTCCAGCAATGCAAATTACATTTTAAGTCAAGTCAGTAGCATTTTATAAGAGAAAACTTTAAGCCCAAAACCACCTTCACCCTCTAAAATCCATATCGCCTACTGGCTGGGAGGAGGGGGGAGGCGAGGCGATGACAGCCAGGAGGAGAGATTACCAGGTGCAGACCCCCAGGAAACACCCCCCCGGATCCACCCTTGAGATATAATTACCATGTTGCTATTTTTGCCCCAAATTTATTTAATGGAATGAGTTTTGTCTTAACCTATTTTGTTGGAATAAGATTTTGTTTTACTACAACCCTGCTTTTGTCTACTAAAACAGATGTACTGGGCAGCTGCTTTACATGCATATACTCCATTGCCACTTCTAAACCGAGGCTCCATCAGCGAGAAGTTCAGATTACACGCCTTTGTTAATACCGGCAACATCGGCGACTTCGTATTGAGTAAGTGATCCACTGTGTTAACACACACACACACAGTTATTATTGTTTGAGGTGCAAAGTGTAGTAGCTGTTACCAGTTATGTTGAGCCTGGAACATTCACAGTTCATAGACATAATTAATGCATGAACTGAGGTTGTGTAACATTATTATTGTTCTTGTGAGGCTTACTATACTGTATACTGTAGTCTGTTCACTCAAACCTTGCAACTGAGGTCTATGGTCAGTTTACAGCAAGGCAGCTGATTGGCTCGCAGACGGGCACGAGAAAAGTTGCTACAATTCTCTAGTTTTAATCTATTGTATTTATATTCTTATATTTTAAACCCAGTGTTACAAACCAGCTGATTCGGTTGCAAGCTCAAATTTCTCCTCCCTGACATTGTTGGCTTGGTTTTCTCTTGTTGGTAAGAGTTCATGCTGAGGGCTATAGAGTTATGATTGTCAACAATACACTGCCATCTTGGGTGAATAATAATTCAGTATTACTGACTGGAATGTAAAGAGTGTGGGATTTGAAGGTTGTTAAAGTTTGTATCATTGTGTAATGTTTTGGACAAAAACTGCATATATTATGTTTTTACTGTCACGTTTTAGCCATGTCCTTAGTGAAATATGATTGAGTGATTTTTGTGTTAGAAAACATAGGTTTAGAAGTTAGTTTGGGCTGTATGTGAAGGAGATTGTCATTGGTGGATCTATTTTTGGCTGCTTTACTGTCAGGATAAATATTAAACAATCCAAAGGTAGAATTTTTATAATAAATTATTCATTGTTATTTAAAATCATGAGAAGTTTCCAAATGTTTGTATACAGTATTTGCTTAAATAATTAAGAAAATTTGATCTGAGAATCTTGTGGCACTCCTCGTTCCTCGTTGTAGTGGGGTTGCCAATTCATTAATATAATTTCTTCATTATTTAACCAAATATAAATTTTTTTGGAAACTTCTCATGATTTTAAATAAGAAAGAATAGTTTATTATTATAAAAATTCCACCTTTGGATTGTTTAATATTTATCCTGACAGTAAAGCAGCCAAGATTCACCATTCACAATCACCTTCACATACAGCCTTACTTTACCAAGTATTGCCAGGTAAAATTGCCAGTGCGAGACTCGGGGTGGGGTCGCTGGATCTTTGGCTAACTGTACATGTTGATAACCACACAAGAAAGCATGAAGCACTTTCATGTAATTCACATTCTAGTTACCTAATAAATTCACCTCCAAATATCATCACACATCACTAAACTGACTGTATGGTTCACATGGAAACAGACTTTTTTCCTTCAGATATTGTCAGTGTCATCACTTCGACAGCTTGTCATATCCTTATATACAAACTGTATATTTGCAAGAATTCTATTTGTTTTTCTTCCATGTAGGGTGACAATTTAAACTTCATTGACACTTAAGGCAGCGTCGTTGAAGGTGCTAGCCTTCATACACACAAGTTTTATGTCAGTTTTCAGCCGAAACTAACTTCTAAACCTATGTTTCCCAACACAAAAATCACTCTCAATCATATTTCACTATGGACATGGCTAAAAGGTGACAGTAAAAGCATAATATATGCAGTTTTTGTCCACAACACTACATAATGATAAACCTGGATCTTTGGCTGACTGTACATGGATCATGTGCACCTACAGTGATTTTTATGTGCACGTTTGTTCCCTTGTACGTCTGCCAGCCAATCAGCTGCCTTGTTATAAACTGACCCAGATCTCTGTTGTAAGGTTCACGTGAACAGACTATATACTGTACTTCCTAATCATTGTGAATAAAGAGTTAGTTATATGAATTAACCCTTACACTTTCTTCCTAGCTGATGACTACAAACAGAATCTTCAGACCCTTGTTCGTGACATGCGTTTGTCATATGGAGCTGGATTAGCAATGAGTCTCGGTGGGTTTGCAAGAGTAGAACTTAACTACTGCATCCCTCTACTGCTCCAGCGTGGTGATAGACCTAACCAGGGACTTCAGTTTGGTGTGGCAGTTTCTTACTTGTAATGCTAAACATAGGTTAGCTTAAAAGTACAATAGAAGATTTACAAACCAGCATTATTTCAATGCAAAAGTTTTTATGATAAGTTCCCAATGGCAAACTGTAAAAATAGTAAAATAAATAAGATTATATATATATATATATATATAGCATTGTCTTCATAAAGCATTTTGTTTTATCAAGTAGAAACTATACTGAAAACTGAAGGATTTTGATATGCTTTAAGTGGTCCACATAGTCAATAACCTTCCATAATATTTTTTTAGTTTTTGTTGTCATGTTTGAAATCAATTTTGCATATAAAACTTAATATGCAGTACTTATTGTACAGTGTAAAATAAAATTGAGTACTTATGTTTTTTGTTTGAATCTTAAAAACATTAACACCACCATCTTGTCAGATTCCTTGCATGTTTGCCACATTAATTGCATTGTATAGGTTAATAACTTCCTCAAAAATTTTAGCTGCCAACTATCACTACACAACCTTAACAGTCCTGTTGAAGAGACAAACACAACCTTACTATCACCATCATCAACAACTTTATCACCACCACCGACACACAACTTTACCACTACCACCACCACAACAACCTTATCAACACACACACACCCCCTTATCACCACCAACAGCACCTACAACTTTGCCAACAACACAACTTTACTAACACAATCTGACCTATAACACCAATAAAGTGAACCTCTGCCCCTATCTTTACATCTTGTTCTCTTAACAGAACTTCCTAACAGAACGCACAGAAAGATCTTCGAGAGAAAACATACTTATACAGTCAACCCTCACTTTACGCGGTCCCACATTCCGTGTTTACGCGGTACCCTGCCTGAACCCAGGATGCTCACATTCCGCGGTGCGTGTACCCCTTTACGCGGAGAGTGTCCGGCTCGACGCTATTTTTAGATTCGCCCCTCTCGCCTGCTCCCGCCTCCGCCTGGGCAAGCCGCGCGGTAAGGTTGCGCAGTGCATGTCTCTGTTGCGTTATCAGTGACGTCATATGACGTATCGGACTGTGATTGGCCATGCATCCCTACCTCCCTCCGCTGCTAGCTGTAATTGGTTTAAAGTAATATGACGTGTCCACCCGGGGGAGGGAAGGAGGAAAGACGACGCTTGACCTAGACGCGGCAGTTTCATCCCTCCACGCCACACGGTGTAATCGTGCATCCATTGTTCTGTAAAATGGCTTCCGCCGGACCACCGCCCCCAGAGAGAAACCTTTCCTTGCCTGGACCCAGCCGCCCTAAGCCCAAGAAGACACGACGTTCCTTAAGCTACGAGGTGAAGTACAAGATCATCCAAGAGTTAGAGAAAGGAACAAGACAGGTTGATTTGGCGCGCCAGCATGGTGTGAACGAATCTACGATCCGGACGATAAAGAAGGATGCAGCCAAGATAAAGGAGCACATGAAGATCACAAAGTCTACAGGTGCTTCTATGATCAAGTATTTCCACAACCAGGTGCTTCTCAAGACGGAAAAATTACTTGTGAGCTACTTGGTGCGTCAGGCGCGACGGAACATGGTGGTCGACACGCGCTCTGTTAAGGAGTACGCACGTGAACTGTATGCTGCAGTGTCACGAAAGATGGGAATTACAGAGCCCAAATCCTTTAATGCTTCCTCTGGGTGGTTACAGAGGTTTAAGATGCAGAACAAGATCACCAATATCAACATTGGTGGTGAAGAAGCTAGTGCTGACTGTGCTGCAGCTAGGGAATTTCCTCCGTTTTTACGTGAGATTATGGAGGAAGGACAGTACACCAACGACCAGGTGTTTAACATGGACGAATCTGGTCTTTTTTGGAAAAAGCTACCTTCCAAGACCTTCGTTGTGAAGAATGCCAGCAAGATTCGGGGCCGGAAGTTGCAGGAGCGCATCACCGTCCTGTTTACCACCAATGCCTCCGGTACCTGTAAGCTCAAGTTATCGGTGATCCACACAGCCCGCAAGCCGCATGCCTACAAGAGCATGGACATGACCAAGCTAAATGTTCACTGGCTGACCGCACGTTAGGCATGGATGTTCTCTACACTGTCCCTCTCCTGGTTTGATGACTTTTTCGTTCCCGATGTAAAGAAATTCTGTGAGCAACAGAATGTGCCATTCAAGATTTTGTTGCTGCTGGACAACGCACCAGGACACTCGCCCCTACTGTTAGGTCGCCACCCCAACGTAAAAGTGGTCTTCCTTCCTCCCAACACTACGTCTATATTACAGCCCATGGACCAAGAGTTAATCTGTAATGTAAAAGCTGCATTCTCTACGAAAAAATTCAAACTCCTGAACGACTACACCAACACCAGGGAAGAGTTGCGTAACCTGAGTGACACCACCACCGATAGCAAGAGCGAAGAAGATGAGGATCAACAGTTGGCACAGCAAAAAATACTGTTCAAACAATTTTGGAGAGTATTTAACATCAAGAAAGCTGTGGACTTCTTGGTGGAGTCATGGGATCAGCTGTCTATTGCTACAATTCATCACGCATTGAGACATGTGTTGCATGGAATACCAGGTGAGAGGAGGAGTCAATCTGTGACTGGTGAGGTTCAGACTGTTGCAGTAGCAGTGGACCTTGCCAGAGAAGCTGCGCAGAGTGTTACAGTTCCAGGCTTCTCCGAGACCACCAACGACGACATCATGGAGGTGATAATGGAACCTGATGTGACTACCGAGGAGATGGTACATGATGATGACGACGTCAGTGAAGAGGCAGGTGGTGCGTCATCCCAAGAAGAACAACACTTATCCCATAGTAATGTTAGGGGTGCCATCGAGTGTATCGAGAAAGCCAAGCTCCTCCTTTCCGACGACCCTGACGCAAACAGGTATGAAATCTTCACTACCCAGCTGTTGCAGACTATGGAGCCCTACATCAAGGTGTATCACAACAACATCAACACCAGCCGTCAGCAAAGCATAACAGATTTCTTCGCCCGCAACCCACCACAGCCAGCCCAAGCCAGTGATAGTGACAGTGAAGATGACTTTGAGGGATTTGTCAGGGAAGCCCTGACAACTGTAAGTGACAGTGATGGTGATGCACCTAGTAATGGTGATTCACCTGAGGGCCAGTAGCCTGCCCTCTGCCTCGGAACCAGCCTCCATCCCCGTACGCCGACCCATCTCTTCTACTAACGTAAGTGTTCCACCTAACTTTTAGTTTTCCTAGCCAAACCTTTATTTTTCCTATGTTAACCTTTATTTTTCCTAACCTAACCTCTTCTATATTACTTGTTTTTTCATACCATCATAAAGTTAAGATAAAACTTTTACTACAACATAGTTGTGTGTCGTCAAAAAGTGGAGTTTGGGGGTCGGCCCGGACTCTATTTCAATTAATCCCATATATTATGTTATTCACTTTACGCGTTCCTCACTTTCCGCGGGACCCTGTGGGTTACATTAACCGCGTAAAGTGAGGGTTGACTGTACTTTCATTCCAGCCAGGGTTAGCCTGGGGGCACAGCCTGTTCCCGGCCAGGAGTGATAGGACCTGGAGCTGTTACTTTCATGTGGCATAAACAGGCAGCAAAATTCCCAAGACCAAATTTTTTTTAAGCAGTATAACTACTGTATAGTGCTGTACATAGGAAGAGTTAAAGGTAAACCAATATACAAAATTTAATTTTCATTAATGTATAAATAACTACAAAAAAAGATAAAGAATGATATAATCAAATACTTTGAAGCAAAATCTTACCTTTGAAATCAAACAACAACTTCAGAAACTGTACATCAATAGAGATAATGTCACTTCCACAAAGTATGGTACCTATTTATTCATCAACATAAAAGTGAATACTTAAATTAAATACTGTACTGTAAGAGTACCAGACATATTATGATTCCTCCACAAATGGAATCAATTATCATTATCTTGCAGGTCCATGATTATGATTACAATTCCTTCCAAAGGTAATGTAATTAATTATATTAAAAACTAATCATGATTACTATGATTCCAAATTAGGTAAACAAAACAACACATAATCACTGTCATGAAAGGTGTTTAAAGCTATACTGTATATGGTAATTAGTGAATATTAAATTCCTGTACAGGGTACAGGTGTTGGCCACTATACACTGGATCTATATATGATCCATCAGTTTTACGATGTTAAAAAATTAAAACCATTTACGTACTGCTATGTGATAGCTAAGATCAGTTTTACGGTGGTCACGGCCTCCGATGTTTGTTTACAAAACCAGATATAAAAAAAATTCTTTTATAAGATATTTTTTATTAATTTCCTTATCTTAACTACTGTTTATTATGAATTTATGTGTGAATGACATGTATATAAAGAAAGTTTTTCCTGCATTGTCACTATGAAAAAGTGATGTGCAATAACCTTGGCGATCTCCCAGCTGCTACTTGCAGTGACAGCTGGGAGGTAGCAGCTTACTACTGTATAGGTACATACTGCACTATCAAGTCAGGTAAATGAAAATAAATCTTTATTTTGTATAAATGTATTGTTTTGGGCTATTTATAATTTATTTGAGATATTCAGACATTATTTAATCATAGCAGCAGCATATAAAACTTGTTTAGGCTATTCAGGGTCTCAGGAATGGAACCTATTTTTCACCACAAGTTCTTAATAACGATATACGATCGATCACTTAATGGTTTTTTGAGGTCCCTAACCACATCGTATAATGGCTAACACCTGTACAGGTATTACAAAATATAACAGAATTCAATAGTTAAGTAAAAAATATGAGAACCTAGATAAAAAATTGGCCCTGTACCCACTTATTGAAGACTTTATTCATACAAAATCATACCACATATTTTCAAATTCATGCACTTGTCACTCTGAAAGTCACATTGTTGTGGTACAATACTGTAATCAGTACAGTATACAGTACTGTAATGAAATACACAGTGAAGAGTAATTCACTGATCAGTTCCTTCTGCAAGTATGATTTGCCAGTGTCATTGGAGTAAGGACCCACTAATCCAACAGTTGTCATTGGTCCAAACACTGGCAGGCGTCTCCTACTCTTCACATTGTCAGCCAATAATGAAGCTCAAACAACAGGTTAAAGATTAGAGAAATGTTAAGTCCTTGAGAAATTGGCCAAGTGTCCCATGGCGTGGGTGAGGTCCCGCCTCACCCACCTTTGCTCTCCACACTGTCAATATGTTGTAATCATGATGATTCCTTTTGCCTTGGAATCGATTCCTTGGTCCCCCAAGATGATGGAATTGATTATGATTCCTCAAGAAATGTGGAATCGTTTCCGATAATTGCAATTACTGATTATGATTACAACATGTCTGATGAGTACAAATGAATCCAAAAATTAAATTCTGTATAACCTATTTATCTGTACCCAGCTATGTAATAATCCAGCTCCATCATCGCACTGTAGAACTGTACATGCTATAATAACATACTTGAAATTCAAACCAATTCTTGAGAGTTCACTTAACGGCATCAACTATGCAACTCTTTGTTCACAAGCTTTATGACATCCTGCCACAGATTTCATTATTAGATACCTGTACTGTACATCGTTTAGCTAAAAGTTATATATACAGTACTTAAGGACACAATACTGTAGTATTTCTTTTGAAGATAAAATAAACAGTATCAAGAACTTGTCTAACCACCAAGTGTCTGCTCTTACTGCAAGATAATCCAACTGTGAACCAGAATGTCTAGCAGAAGTGTACACTCACTCCAAAAGCTCCTTTGAATTTCAAAATGAACACTGTGACTCTGGTTGTCTGGTTAGGGTTGCCAAAATCTTTCATCTATTGTGTCAGATTGTCTCATACAAAATTTTAACTTTACTTGACTGATATGATACCAAAAAGTACCAAGCAATTACATATCAAATAACTCCCGCTCTGACTGGGTGAGAGAGGGTGATGCGCCGTACAAAGTAGTCCGTGACGACGTTATACTGAATCGGCGGGACGTTGTCCAAATCATGGGTATCTAAAGAGTAGCGAAGTTATAATGAAACGACGTTAAACGAGGACTTACTGTACTGTACTGTACTTGAACACAGTTTGAGATTTTATGATCAAATTTTTATGCAAAAAGTCGGTGGTCAACTACAGTAAGTGCATAGTATTTTTGAGGGGTTAAAATTCATGCATTTCCGCAGGTCATTTATGGTAAACAATAGCTACCCAGAATTTGCTCGTGGTAGGCTAACCTTACTGAGCTGTTAGGTGTTCTGGTTATTTTTCACCTCATAATTTTGGGTAGATATATGTAACTTTCTTCATTTTTTACTCAGTTACATGCACACACAATACCTACATACTGTACAGTACTGTGTAAAATAAAAGTATAAGAAATAATTATCATAAGGTCAAAAGCATAAAGGGAATAAACAGTTCTTTGCGTGTGAGTTAGGTGGCTGAGCTGGGGGAGCTGGAGGAAGCGGAGTGTGTGTGTGTGTGTGTAATAATAATAATAAACGGTTTATTAATAGAGTTGCAGCCGGTGGCTGAAAATATACAAACTTACATGTGATTTAGACATAATAATATATGTGTGTGTAGGGGGGGGGGTTGCTAGGGAGTCGGCGTACCGGGTAGGCTGCACTGCAATGGCAATTGGCGAGTGTTGAGGCCAAGCAGCCAGCATCTATGCAAATGGTGGTTGTGTTATACTTTCATTTAGCTTTTCCTTAACAGTTTTAGTGGCACTTTTTCATTTAGATTGTAAACAGATGTTATTTGAAATAGAACATGGTTTATGAATGCTGGGAAATAGGTACAGGGAGTTATGAGTTTGCTTCAGCTATTTGACTTACTGTGTGGGCCGTTACATTACATTTGTGATAATATTCCTTAGGTTTTTTTATATTTCAGCTTGTTTTTCAGTATTAAGTTTTGTACAGTATATGTAATAGTAACACCATGACTCATCAGCGATGTTATGGTTCTTTTTAAATGCATAATTTAGGGTAGATACAGTATACGCGATTTTCTTCTTTTTTTTTTTTACTGTTACATGTACACACAATTTTACAGAATGTGCTAAAAAAAAAGTTTATCATAAGGTCAAAAGCATGTGTAAAGAGTTCACTTTACCGGGGGAGGGGGGAGTGAGGGATCTCAGCTGTCTCCCTTGTGTAGTGAAACGATTGACAGAATTTATCGTCTAGCAGCCAAATGGGAAGAAAATATTTTTTATTTTTTTATTTATTCCTTAAATTTACTGTACAGGTATATGTTATTTTATCTTATTCCTCTTAGGAGTTAGTAACTGGCGGGAATTCAGTTTCATAGCATCACAAGTTGTGGTGGTGGTCATGGCAAAGACACGTTGGTGTTAATCTAGTGTCTTGCTACAAATTATGTCTAGTATAACATCTAGTATTTCTCAAAAGCTAGGGTTCAATTATACAAGAGGTATACTGTATGGAAAAATCAGGCTTTTTACCCCAAAATCAGGGGTCAAACTATTATACACATGTATATACGGTACATTAAATAAAAAATAAAAAACTTTCTCTATAAGATCTTTCATATGTTCTACCAGATGTAATTTATCTGAATAACTTGTAACACTGAAAACTGGAATGGTTTCTATCATGTATGAACTCTCTTATGTTTCACCAAAGAAGATTTTTCTGAAAAGCCTTTCAGGCATTCTGTACACTGAAACGGTTTCTCTCCAGTATGAACTCTCATGTGTGTTACTAGATGAGATTGACGTGAAAAATCTTTAAGACATTCTGAACAGTGATAAGGTTTCTCCCCGGTATGAATTCTCATATGTTTTACTAAAGAAGATTTTTCTGAGAAGTCTTTAAGACACTCGGGACACTGATATGGCTTATCTCCTGTATGGACTCGTAAATGTCTTACTAATTGATGTCTTTCTCTGAAATCTTTAAGACACTCAGGACACCGAAACTCCTTCTCTCCTGTATGAAGCCTCATATGTTTTACTAAAGAAGATTTTTCTGAAAATCCCTTTAGACATTCTGGACACTGAAATGGTTTCTCTCCTGTATGAAATCTCATGTGTGTTACAAGATGTGGATGACTTGAAAAGCCTTTAGGACATTCTGAACACTGAAATGGTCTTTCTCCTGTATGAACTCTCATATGTCTTACCAAAGAGGATTTTTCTGAGAAATCTTTGAGACATTCTGGACACTGATATGGTTTCTCTCCTGTATGAACTCTCAGATGTGCATCAAGATGAGATTTACATGACAAACCTTTATGACACTCTGGACAGTACACTGCTTTCTCTCCTGTATGAACTCTCATATGTCTTACCAAAGAGGATTTTTCTGAGAAATCTTTGTGACATTCTGGACACTGAAATGGTTTCTCTCCTGTATGAACTCTCAGATGTGCTTCTAGATGAGATTTACATGACAAACCTTTATGACACTCTGGACAATGAACCGATTTCTCTCCTGTATGAACTTTCGTATGTCTTTCTAACTGAGATTTTTTTTTAAATACTTTAAAGCATTCTGAACAATGAAGTGACTGTTCTTCTGAGTAAGACTCCATCTTATCACTTTTCTCAACAAAGGCCAATGAAACATTGAACAAGGTCTTTTGTGTATGGGCTTTCTTGTGTCCTGACACTTACTTCACAACATCCACAGCCAAATATCAGGATACGGTAATCTATTACAGTATTGTTGAAAAGCTGAAACTTATTGAGCATAAGCTAATGTTGATTATGTAATATCTGTAATATCAAGGTGAGTGTAAATACAGTTGACAATTATACTACACGACCAGCACTAATGACTAGGTTACTACTGCAGTAAATACCAAGTTATTGTTGCATGATGAAGAGGTTAACTTGAGGTTGTACTTGGTATGTTTACAGGCTATTCTTACTGAATTTGTTTCCTGACAATTGTTTGCAAAGGAAAATTACCTTATTTTCACTGCTCGCAAAACTGTTGTATTCACTCTGGCTCTCCTCTTTTATATATCAGTCCTCGTCCTCTATGTCTCTTAATGTGTATCTGTGAAGAGAAAATCATGATTTTAATGAAATATTTCTACACTTTACTATACAGTATTAAAATTTGCCATATACAAATGATATCTCCGTTAGCCAGAATAATTAGTGTAGAGCTCCTCTGGGGATGAGAGATTTCCGGGTAACGAGACGAATCTCTCATTTATTACATCAGACTTGGTGGAAAAAAGACTTTTTTCTAAACACCAGTTTTTGTGATACAGTATAGTCCAGAATGCGACGCCTAGCTTATACCTAGGTATGTTATGCCTAGCAATAACTCGCCAGGCCAACATACAGGCAATTAAAACATCTAATAATTACTTAAAATGTAATATTAGGACACGTCGCTACCTGTCATTTAATTGCAATTCTGGAGTTTCTGTAATATTTTGGGAATTTTCCAGAATTAAATATTATTTCATCCTTGGAATTTGCTCCCAGACTAGAAAAAAAGAAACTGGAGTCTCCGGAATTTTCTCTGAATTTTCCCCAAAATGCGTCTGATTTTCAACCTCGGAATTCGCTCCCAGACCCAAGAAAATTTGGAGAGTTTCTGGAATTTGACAGAGAATGCGCCTTATTTTCACCCTTGAAAACTCATTCACAGACCCAGAATTGAAAGAATTTTAACAGAAAATAAATTTTACGACTTTCAAATTCAGGATATGGAAAAGGCTACTCCAACTACCATCAGATGCCTAGCTAGGTACTGTTTTTATTTCAGTGAGGGTGTGTAAAAGACTAGCAAAATGAGAGAGAGAGAGAGAGGTAAACAAAATGGTGTGTAAAAGACTAGCAAAATGAGAGAGAGAGAGAGAGAGAGGTAAACAAAATGCGTACATAGCCAAAAGCTACAGAAAAAACTTATGGCACCATGGGGCAGAGGAAAGGCAAGGGGAAAAGACTGACACTAAAAGAAAAATTAAACATACTGAACAAACTGGTAAGAAATGTGCCTGTAATAGGCTATCCTGTATCGTCATATCTCCACTTGGCAGCTTCAAAGCCCTGCCCACTTTGGGAAGATTCATTGTTGTTACTTGTGTTAAAGGGGTCATATCATTAAATATGCATTATTCAAAAAAAAAAATATTTGTTCAATGGTGAACTGTCATTTATTAGGCAGTTAAGGGACGCAACTAATCTGAATTACAACCAACCACAAACATTAATATGTCAACACATAAACCTGAAGGACTTAGATAAGCTGACAACAAGAGGTCCCTCACGTCTTCCTCTCCATCCTGGGTAATCCTCAATGACGACCATACTACTGTACTGTGCACTTCTTAGGGTGATCCTCGGATGGGTTTATGTACATGTTCTACTTGTGATTGCTGACAAATTATGTCGAGTTGTGGGCTCAGTTTGTACTGTTGAACCACACGCCATTTGCTGAACGCCAGACAATAACAAAGTTAAACAAACTTGGATTCGAGAACGCTTACGACTGATGGCATGAGACAAACCCAAGAAAAAAATTAAGTAAGTTTGCCCACAGCAGGTGTTATACTAGTTTAGTTTAAGAAGATTAGGTTAGGTCCACTATAAAACAGTGAAATTGCGGTGTTTTTAAATTCGTTTCTATGAAAAATTCGCGGCTGTGAAGTCGAAAATAGTACTAGGCAATATTTTTTTTAAATAATAATAAATCCGTAACATGGTTCAGAGCAGCTCCCTTTTGGTAATTTTGAGGAGCTGATTTCAAATCTGGCAATAAAACTTATCTGGCACGTACAGTTTAGTTGTTATACAAAAACTTAAATCTTGCAAATACAAAAACTGAAAAATACTATTTTACCTTTTATTCCTGTTACTTTTTTCCACGCCACCACACTAAAATTCAATAAATAATGAAAACAATCGTAAGAAGTCACAAAAAGTATTAAATTAACCACTGTGTGGGCATTTGTTACTTTATGTGTTGTATTGTCCTCCGATTGTAAAAAACAGCAATAGTCCCCCATCATGGCAAGATCCCATCAACCCAGGTACCTTTCCTCCACACGTCTAATGTCTTGATGAAATCACTCTCCCTGTTCATCACTAACCGCCCCCAGATTCCCAGGAAAAAAATCCAAGTGCGAGTGTAGGGATGGACTTTCAGGGACATCCTGCATCCTAAGTTTTTGTATTTTTTAATAGTTCCTCTACAAGTTGGCAATAGTTTTTTCTTCCTTCTCGTTTCCAATAAACCCCTTGACTACAGATGTGAAGGATTTCCATGCAGCTAGCTCATTTTCTTTCGGTTTGTTTTCAAAGTCGTCATTACAAAGTAACTTTCTTATCTGTGGGCTAGGGTACGGAATTCGGGGAAATGTCCAAGCGAGGATAAAAGAAAAGGAAAATTAATCCGAGACGTAACCGATTGGCCAAGCGGCTAACGAGCCAATCAGTTGTGAAGAGGAAAGTAAAATAAATCAGCACCCAACATTAATAAAGTGCAGCGTATTTTGATCCATCATACCGAACCCTTGTCAATTAGTGTTATTATTTTTTTAACCTGTCCCCAGTAGCACATTAAGAACTCTAGTGAAACAATTATCAACTGCATCAGATATTCTTCAAGTTGTAATGTATTGTCTTAATAGACCATTGTTATTATTATTGTTTACTCTCAACCCGGATTCATTTCACCAACGCCAGCATCTTTGTTTACAATCATTCCGTGGCATGATTGTGTTCCTTCAGCAGACATTTGAGATTGTGCTAAGTTAATAACATATAATCTCATTAAAGTTAATTTTTAAAGATCTGGGTAATTATTTACGATTCCACAGACGCTGATTTATTCATAGAAAAACGAATTTTGAACAGTGGATATCTTGCCGTGACCAGCTGACCCTATTCACGCTATTTTACCATGATTGTCTAAGTACTTTCTGTTTAATATGACAGGGGTCCGCCCCCCTACTAGGAAGTTAGGTAAGGCTAGGTAGGTTTCTTTGATTGGTTAGGTCAGGTTCTATTAGGTTTTAGTACAGTATAGAAACTCTGGAACACCAGACTCGGCAGCAGACGCCACACTACCACCCTCACTTGACAATCCCACACCTACAGAAACAAACAAACCATTAAGCGTTCCATTCTCCTCATTTCATTTTTCACGTCAATAGCGTGGGTGAGCAGCCACAGTGGCACCTCTGATGAGCAAATAACGTATTTGTTTGCCATGGCGGTACATTTGAAATATTTTCTGCCCGATTTCCCTCAATAAATAAATAAATATCGCGATACAGTACATTGGAAAATTTTAATTATTTTGGTAGTCGCGATACAAAAAAATCGTTATAAAAAGTCGCGATATATCCCGACCCTACTGTACCTCCATCCAAGGATAGGTATTAGCTAATGTAAATTTGTTTAGCTCATCATCTTATAACAAATAATATAGCTAATGTAAACAAGTCAGGATGTCACTGCAGAAAGCTAGCTTGTTGACTTTGATTCATGGTCAGGATGAAAATCAGAAAAAGAAAGGAAGAAAGATGTAATTCCTTCATTTTTATTTTTTTGGATATCCTAGAGGTAAGAAAGATATTTTCTTCTCGAGGAATTTTTCTTAAAGTTCCTCCAGTCATCTTAATCTGTAAATGGTTTGGTAACAGTAAACATGAGACTGTGAAGCTTCATGCATACACGTTAAAAGTTCACACTGATTTTTTCCGTGATTCTCTACCTGATTTGCATTTTATGTAGCTAATAAAACAAATACAGTAAACCCTCGATAACTCAGCACATATGGGGCTCTGGCCTTGCAGAGTTATCCCAAATTCCGACTTATCGGGGCACTTCCCCCTCCTACAAAAATACAAGAATAAAAAGTTATTGACCCATATATGTGTACATACATGTAATTACTAAATGTAAAAAAGTAACTTGCCAGCACTGCAGGCAAAGAATGAAGCATCAAAGTAGGTGACACAGAGGTATGGTAGGTGACACAGTGGTATGGTAAGTGACGCAGAGGCATGGTAGAAAATGCAGGTGGCCAGATATGCAGAGATTTTCCCAGATCCAGATCCAGTTATACTAATACATTCCGAGACCATATCCATGGCGAGTTATATGAAATTCTGAACAAGATTCAGCTTAACTTTATCAATTAATGCATATATTTTCTCATTCATTATTAAAGGTGAGAACACCGTAGTGTTAGTGCTAATACAGTAATTATTAAATTATTTATTACTATTGTAAACTGAAACACAGTTTCCTTTATATAAAACTGCAAGAATTAAAAATTCTGTTTTTTTTTACTATAGCATTAATGTTCTTCAATGAATAATGAAACAATGAAGACATTAATTTACCTATTATATAAATTCAATAATACAGTGTATTCGCAAAAAATACAGGGTAGTTAACATTTACTCAGGTGGTTATACTGTATTAACATGCACTAGAGATGATATTAGCCCTATCACTTTCTCGCCCTGTGTTTTACTAAAACCTTTGCTTTTTCTTTCACAGATAAAACCTGAAGAATAACTTGGTACTTTAGCCTCATACAAACAAGATCATCACAACAGTTAACAGAATTAAGATTTTCGTCAGTGTGTGTGAAGTACGTATTGTCAACACATTATAGATCTTCACTAACTACAGTATAAGTATCTTATATAAGAGGACACTTAATGAATTAAAATGCTCTGTGATTTAGGGACACAAACTATTGTAAGATTTAAATCGAACACAAATGTGAAAATAAATCTGGCCAAGACTGTCACATAACTCGATAAGTGAAAATAGTGAAGGTGCAGTGGTACATATGACAGGTGAGGCTATAATACTTGTGTTAAAATCTATTACAATTACTTTACACAATCTGTAGTAAAGTGGGGACTCATCACTTTAATGTGATTACTTAACAGGAAAACTTCACCACTGTGTTCTCTGATGATTATAATTAAATAATAATAATAATATTCATAAGAATAATAGTCAGACTATAGCAGTACAAGCACCTTTTGATTTACATGTGTTTGGTTTAAGCCATTTTTAGAATACTGTATTGCATGCAGTCCATTTACACCTTTTTTTAATAATTTATGTGGGTTTATGTTTTGAATAACACGACCATCGACAAACATCATCAATGGGCTGGCAGCGAGGTGGTGTGGCATTACCAGGGCCATATGAGAAGCACACGCACATGAGGCGTGGGTATGCAGCTTCTCACCTTGCAGTCCTCGGTGTGTGGATACAGTCTATAGTCACGGAATGCTACAGTATTTTATGCTGCAGTATACTATATATTACACCTGTGTTGTAATAAAGGTCAGCATGTTCGCCTCACAAGCAAGTGGTCCCAGGTTCGATTCCTGGGTAAAGTAAAACCACGGGCAAGTTTCTTTATCTATTTGCCTCTGTCTACCCAGCAGTAATTGGGAACCTGGACGTTAATCAATTTGCTGACTGTGTTCCGGGGTAATGGTTAACCAGTGCAGTTGACGAGTTGTCAGGTCTTCTTGGACGTTTCCTTGACACTGGGTCATACAACTCATTAACCTAGGATGTGGTTGCTGTGTTGGCAACAGCTTCTACACCTTAAATAAATTCATGCCTCGGTGGCTCTTGGGCCGGCCAACTTTGTACACGAGGCGCAACCATTATTATTATTGTTATTATATTGCACATCTTTTACCCCTTGCATCATGCTGCCAAAGCATCCTTTAAGTTATCCTGGTACCAGTGATGATAAGAAGTATAAGGCCATCTGTATTGAGATTAAGATGGATGTGCTAAAACGTTATGAGACAGTTGAATGAACAGCTGATATTAAGTGTGCCCTTTTACTTAGTGAATCTAATTTATGGACTATTCGTGATAGTGCAGAGAAGATCAAGAAAAGTGCCAAGAGTGGAAGATTAATCACTGCATTTAAGATCTTGCATTCCCAAAGTTTGATTATAGAGAGAATGGAACAAATGTTGAGCTCATGGATTGAACACCAAATTCACGAAAGTGTTCCCATCAACATGCTTGTGATTTATAATTTATATTTCCTGGTACATGTATACTGTAGTCTTTCACTGGTATAATATTGGGTATTGTCTTGTTAATAACAAAACCCACTAACCTCTACTACAAGTATTTACAATGTTTGACTTACGCATTTTTTATTTACATGATCATTTTCAAGAATGTAATTATCGCGTAAATCAAGAGGTGCTTTTACAGTAAAACATTATTGCTGTAATCCTGCTGCAGTACATAGTGGTTTTGTTTGAGTAGTACAGGTACTGTACTGTATGTAATATTAAGGACATGACATGTATCATGCATAAACTTCAAGCAAAAAATCATATGTATATTTGGAGCCCGTCTGTGTTCACTTTACATATTCTTTAATATTATATGCTGAGTGTTTTCACTGAAGATTTTTTTTTTCCAGATTTGTAAACCTTCATTCCATAAAGCAATACAACTTCACAATGGAAGAGTGCACTCTGGACCATCTTAAAAACTTTGAAGAAAAATCTGATCTTGTTATACACATTAGACTTCACTCTGAAGAGGAACCAAGTCAGATAGCAGAGAGTCATGAAACTCAAACACAGAAAGTTCATATTGTATCGGATGTTGATGTTCGTACAAGAGAAAAACACCAATGTTTCGAGTGTCTTAAATATTTTACATCAGAATCTGATTTATCAACACATATTCAAGGTCATTCTAATAAGGAAAAGCCATTTGAGTGTTCCGAGTGTAATAAAACATATGGAAGAAAATCTCATCTAACAAGACATAATAGAATTCATACTGGTGAAAAACCATTCCAGTGTTTAAAGTGTCATAAAGTCTTTGCTTGGAAAAATCAACTGAAAGAACATATGATAGTTCACACTGGACAAAAATCATTCAAGTGTTCAGAATGTCACAGAAATTTTACCCGGAAAAGTCATCTTAATTCTCATATGAAAGTTCATACAGATGAGAAAGCATTCCAGTGTTCAGTGTGTGAAAAATGTTTTGCATGTGGAAGTCAGCTTAGAGAACATATGAGGATTCATACAAGATATAAATCATTCATTTGCTCAGAATGTTGTAAGGCCTTTCGAAAAAAAAGTCATCTTATTGCACATATGAAACTCCATACAGAGGAGAGATCATTTCAGTGTTCAATGTGTTCTAAGGCATTTACAAGAAAAGATAGCATGGAGTTGCATTTGAAAATTCATACTGGAGAGAAACCTTATCAATGTTCAGTGTGTTGTAAAACCTTTGCTTGGAAGAAGAGCATGATATCACATAAGACAATTCACACAGGAGAGAAACCGTTTAACTGTTCAGTGTGTATTAAAACCTTTGCAAGGAAGAGTGATATGGTTTCACATATGAAAATTCATACAGGGCAGAAACCATATCAGTGCTTAAAATGTCATAAAGGTTTTGCACAAAAAAATGTTATGATAAGACATATGAAAATTCATACTGATGAGAGGCCATTTGAGTGTTTAGAGTGTAATAAGGCATTTACCTTTGAAAGTCGCTTAAAGGATCACATGACAGTTCACACAGGAGAGAAACCGTATGTGTGTTGCGTGTGTTGTAAAGCCTTTTCAAGAAAAAGTGATCTGAATACCCATTCAAAAATCCATACAGGAGAGAAGCCTTTTCAGTGTTCAGAATGTAATAAAGACTTTACCAAAAAATCCGGTCTCAGAAGACACAAGGTAGTTCATACAAATGAAAAGCCATTTAAGTGTTCAGAGTGTATGAAAGACTTTAGTCAGAAAAAACTCTTAATATGTCACATGAAAAAATACCATAAGAAGAACTTGTTGCTCACGTCCTCACAGAGCAATTCTGAGAGTTGCCACATTTCACAACAAGATATGATACTGTCCTGCCAACAAACACAAGTGGACAACACAAGTACTGAGTCACCAGGGGAGCAGCAGCTGGCAAGTAGAGAACCAGTGAAGATGGAGGCCAAACACAGTTCAGGTTCCATCACTTATAAAACAGAAGATTTACCAGCTTCTTGGCCTACTAAGACAGAGTATCAGGAAGAATATATTTTTATCAAAGAAGAATTTTGAAACCACTTCTGTTTGGAAACTCATGTAACAGGCCCCTTCACTAGTGCATTTACAGAGGCTCGTCATATAAACATTCCACAAATCATTACACTGAGATACTTATTTCAATAATGTTTTCTTGGATTCCATAGTATGTTTACTATTGCTAATTTCCTTCTCGAATGTAAACAAACAAAGGGGTGCCACACTGCACAAAACTTGGCGAGCCACTATAAATGCTCTAGTGACGGGGACATTACATTATCTGTACAGTACATGTATATTGTCATGTTATTCCGAGCTGATGTTGACAGTAGTGAATTATGTAATCGATAATGATTTAAAATATTTTTATACCTTCACTAATAACATTACTCATTTATGTGATAGAGTATTTGTATTCTAGATGAAGTCTTCTGTATCCAATGGGGCGGATACTCAAATCTACTAATAAGTTACGCACACGGCAATCTTATAACTGACTTACAGCATTCAAACTTACAACTGCTAACAATATTGTAACTCCCCCATACTCAAAACTATTTTGCAATGTAAACATTGCAGAGTAAGTCTTCATGCAGGCCAGTTGGTTGGTTACGGTTACTCTTTCAAAACTTGACGACCAATTACTGGTACATGTTAAGGATGTCAGCTAGCTTGAGGTTACGAGATTTACAAACAAAAGGAGTTTAAAAAGCTGAAAAAATATGTACAATTTCTTATAAAAAATATCATATTTTACATAACGATTAAAAAACTAGTAGCACAGTTTATAATAAACAAAATTATGAAAAGTACAAATGATAATAACAGTTGGGTCTGAGTCGGTACAGGGTATGGCATATTTTTTTTTCTATTGTAAAAAAGGTTATATTTCCACGCATAGTTTAAAAATTTGAAATCGAGGAAACATAGTAGAACTTCAACAATTGTTCATCACTTATGTGAGGGTCCAAAAGGTCTCAGTACCTCCTTTCACGTTGCAAAGCTTGGTCATTTAAATATACATCAATCAACTCCATCTTGCCTGCCAAACATAAACAAGCACAGTTACTGTTTACAAGATAATTTTTAACAGATTAAATTTTATCTTTTAATATTATTTCCAACTGAAATAATACATGAAACTTATATTCTGCTGTCTTCTCTGATAAAAGCAGCTTTAATGAGATTTATCATAGCTTGGAAGACACATACTGTACTGTGTAATCTGGAAATACTGTACACATGTACTACGTTATATCAGGGTTTATTCCATTACAGGAACTCCGAAGGTCCTCTTAAGTTAAAGCCTCCAGATACAATACGTGACTCACAAGATGGCAGATATTTTTTTTATAGTATCACTACAGAGAGGACTTAGCTACCTCTAGGACCAATTTACAGAGTCAACTGGGAAATACTGCACGCACAATTTTATACAGTACTGTACGGTAAACAGTATACTCTTTGAGTACAGGTATCCGGCCACAGAACTTTAACTCATTCCATCTGTGTTGGTGGTTCAAGAACAACACTACTGTTCAGGGAATAAGAAACTAAAAGAAAATGTCCTGTTTAACCAAATTAGAATAAAGAAATGTAAGAAATCATCTGATTAAGCAGTGATAAACAGGATGATAAAAGAATATGAATTTTTTCAAACAAATACTCTACAGCACAATACATGTACAATAGAATACAGTACTGTACAGTACTTTAAAAACTAGAAATCACTACCGCAATTAGGTAACAGTAATGTATATAATGTCTAAATTAAGTTTACTTGAAGACATTTTGTAAATGGATGTTTAACATTACAGATACAGTTCTTTTATTTCAAGTAGAATACATAAGGCTGTCAGGTGCTTCCCCTGGATTAGATTAAAGTACTGTACTGTACTGTAATGACTCACATTTGGTAAGATATATCTAACAGGTCATATATCTGAAATTTACAGCAGGATACAATTTCTTTAACCTTTCAAAGTTTGTTAAATTTAGGCTCCAGCGTATTCTTTGGGAAATGTTCTTACTGTGTACATGATCGGTATAAGTCTATGTGCTGGCTTATAAAAATTGTGTACACTGTTGTCTCTTGTTCCTTGACCTCAACATCCTAACATGTGTTGGTGAATGTATCTTTAAAAATAAAAGTTTTTCATTAACCCTTATATTATATTTAAGTACAGGTACTGTACAGTAATGTACAAACAATTGGTTGCTGTTTTACTTGCACAATACAGTATACAGTCAACCCTCACTTTACGCGGTCCCACATTCCGCGTTTCCACGTTAACGCGGTGCCCTGCCAGAACCTAACGTGCTCACATTACGCGGTGCGTGAACCCCATTACGCGGAGAGTGTCCGGCGCGACGCTATTTTTAGATTCGCCACACCCGCCTGCCTCCCTGTGCTCTCGCCTCTCCCTCCTTCCCTCCTCCCTCCGCCTGGGCAAGCCGCGCGGTAAGGTTGCGCAGTGTGTGTCTTTGTTGAGTTATCACTGACGTCATATGACGTATCGGACTGTGATTGGCCATGCATCCCTACCCCCCTCTGCTGCTAGCTGTAATTGGCTTAAAGTATTATGACGTGTCCACCCGGGGGAGGGAGGGAGGAAAGACGATGCGTGACCTAGCCGCGCCAATTTCATCCCTCCACGCCAGACCGTGTAAACATGTATCCATTGTTCTGTAAAATGGCTTCCGCTGGACCACCGCCCCCAGAGAGAAACCTTTCCTTACCTGGACCCAGCGGCACTAAGCCAAAGAAGACACGACGTACCTTAAGCTACGAGGTGAAGTACAAGATCATCCAAGAGTTGGAGAAAGGAACAAGGCAGGTTGATTTGGCGCGCCAGCATGGTGTGAATGAATCTACGATTCGAACAATAAAGAAGGATGCAGCCAAGATAAAGGAGCACATGAAGATCACAAAGTCTACAGGTGCTTCTATGATCAAGTATTTTCACAACCAGGTGCTTCTCAAGACAGAAAAATTACTTGTGAGGTACTTGGTGCGTCAGGCGCGACGGAACATGGCGGTCGACACGCGCTCTGTTAAGGAGTACGCACGTGAACTGTACATTGCAGTGGCACGAAAGATGGGAATTACAGAGCCCAAACCCTTTAATGCTTCCTCTGGGTGGTTACAGAGGTTTAAGATCCGGAACAAGATCACCAATATAAACATTGGTGGTGAAGAAGCGAGTGCTGACCGTGCTGCGGCTAGGGAATTTCCTCCGTTTTTACGTGAGATTATGGAGGAAGGACAGTACAGTGACGACCAGGTGTTTAACATGGATGAATCTGGTCTTTTCTGGAAAAAGCTACCTTCCAAGTCCTTCGTTGTAAAGAATGCCAGCAAGATTCGGGGCCGGAAGATGCAGAAGGAATGCATCACCGTCCTGTTTACCACCAATGCCTCCGGTACCAGTAAGCTCAAGTTATCGGTGATCCACACAGCACGCAAGCCGCACGCCTACAAAACCATGGACATGACCAAGCTAAATGTCCACTGGCTGACCGCACGTAAGGCGTGGATGTTCTTTACACTGTCCCTCTCCTGGTTTGATGACTGTTTTGTTCCCGATGTAAAGAAATTCTGTGAGCAACAGAATGTGCCATTCAAGATTTTGTTGCTGCTGGACAACGCACCAGGACACTCGCCCCTACTGTTAGATCGTCACGCAAACGTAAAAGTGGTCTTCCTTCCTCCCAACACTACGTCTATATTACAGCCCATGGACCAAGAGTTAATCTGTAATGTAAAAGCTGCATTCTCTACGAAAAAATTCAAACTCCTGAACGACTACAACAACACCAGGAAAGAGTTGCGTAACCTGAGTGACACCACCACCGATAGCAAGAGCGAAGAAGATGAGGATCAACAGTTGGCACAGCAAAAAATACTGTTCAAACAATTCTGGAGAGTGTTTAACATCAAGAAAGCTGTGAACTTCTTGGTGGAGTCATGGGATCAGCTGTCTATTGCTACAATTCGTCACGCATGGAGACATGTGTTGCATGGAATACCAGGTGAGAGGAGGAGTCAATCTGTGACTGGTGAGGTTCAGACTGTTGCAGTAGCAGTGGACTTTGCCAGAGAAGCTGCGCAGACTGTTACAGTTCCAGGCTTCTCCGAGACCACCAACGACGACATCCTGGAGGTGATAATGGAACCTGATGTGACTACCGACGAGATGGTAGATGATGATGACGACGTCAGTGAAGAGGCAGGTGGTGCGTCATCCCAAGAAGAACAACACTTATCCCATAGTAATGTTAGGGGTGCCATCGAGTGTATCGAGAAAGCCAAGCTCCTCCTTTCCGACGACCCTGACGCAAACAGGTATGAAATCTTCACTACCCAGCTGTTGCAGACTATGGAGCCCTACATCAAGGTGTATCACGACAACATCAACACCAGCCATCAGCAAAGCATAACAGATTTCTTCGCCCGCAACCCACCACAGCCAGCCCAAGCCAGTGATAGTGACAGTGAAGATGACTTTGAGGGATTTGTCAGGGAAGCCCTGACAACTGTAAGTGACAGTGATGGTGATGCACCTAGTAATGGCGATTCACCTGAGGGCCAGTAGCCTGCCCTCTGCCTCGGAACCAGCCTCCATCCCCGTACGCCGACCCATCTCTTCTACTAATGTAAGTGTTCCACCTAACTTTTAGTTTTCTTAACCTAACCTTTATTTTTTCCTATGTTAACCTTTATTTTTCCTAACCTAACCTCTTCTATATTACTTGTTTTTTCATGCCATCATGAAGTTAAGATAAAATTTTTACTACAACATAGTTGTGTGTCGTCAAAAAGTGGAGTTTGGGGGTCGGCCCGGACTCTATTTCAATTAATCCCATATGTTATGTTATTCACTTTACGTGTTCCTCACTTTCCGCGGGATCCTGCGGGTTACATTAACCACGTAAAGTGAGGGTTGACTGCAATGGCAAAAAAAAAAGGACATACAGGTACAGTCCTCTGAGTTGACCCGGTAAGGAAATACAAGTGCAGTACAAGATACGTGTATGTGTAGATAAGATCAATACAGTACAACTACCCACTGAAAACTACACCATGAAAAATTAAGGTGTACAACTCACTCCAAAAGCACCGTTATGAATGGTTCCGATTAATTTCAAAATGAATACCACAATTCGTGTTGTCTTGGTAAGGTTATCAAAATCCTGCCTGTTGTGTCATATTGCTTCACACAATACCGTAAAGAAACTTTTTGGAGTGAATTATGATGGGCTGATGCATCTAGAAAAGGCATATGACAGAACATTCTGTGAGTCACTGAGGGAGGTGATGATTTATGGCAAGGGGTGAAAAATAAATTAGTGTAGAGAAAACATTGTGCAAGAAAAGGAAGCAATGTGTATGGGTGAATGGAGGACATAATGAGACAGAGCTGTTGTTTTTTCTCACTTTTCAACACTTTAAGGAATTTTTGAAGCAATCATGAAACACTGAGAGAATCCCTGTGTATATTTGGTGGGGGGAAGTGTCCATTGTGAGATAAAGCCAAAACATGGAAAATGGGACACATACAGGGTATACAATATATGAAAGAGAAATGTGTGTCCTGCTACACTCATTATGACCACCCTACAACACCCATGTTAAACTGTGCACGTCATCACGTTTTACGAGTGGATTATCTCCGCTAACTCCTTCACAACAAGGACGCCACTTTTAATTTTATTCTGCACAGAGGAAAGGGATCCCTTGCACAAGTACCGTAGTTAAAAGGTTCGGACCAAGTTTCAGAATATTTAATGGAAAACTAAATGGAGTTGATTTTCTGATGTGAGGTGGTCAAGGGCAGACATATATAAACATATATTTTTTCAGGGGAAATGGACAAACTGGATATAATAATCAATGTAGCTATTCCTATGGCTGAGTATAAATATGTAAACAGGTTAAACGGGGTTCCTACAACAGACCAAACTGTTGTAACTGAGATTAATTTAACATCCAGGGACTTAGATCTCGCAAGACAGACCTCGCCCAATATGTGCTCTCCCATTAAGTAGAAGTCGCTCTACTTCAGGAAACCATCACTTGACAATGTTGCTCCACTGTCTAGCTATACTGTCTACACCCTGCCTCATCACTGTGGCTATGGTTGTGGTCTCCTCACCCTTGTACGTAACACCATTCCATCTGTTCATCTTCCATCACCAAACTCACATGGGCCCCCGTCTGAACTACTTTGTCTCTCTTACTCTTGGTCACTGGACCCTTCGTGTAGTTAACGTTCATTTAAAGAGTGATGCTCTGGACCCCCCAGGTTCTTCACGACCTCTACGATCAGGTTCCCACTCTTATTCTCGGTGACTTTGATGGTATCAGGACAATTGCCCCCTGGACAACTGCCTCCATAGGACAATTGCCCCCTGGACAACTGCCTCCATGGGACAATAGCCCCCTGGACAACGACCTCCCATTGTCAGTGAATCTGTACTGATATTTACTCAACCCACAGACCTTTCTCATAGACTATGAACAAGCTGCCAGGAGTGACATTGAAGAGGTCTTTCCCAACACAACAATCAAGGGATGTTTTTACCACTTATCATAAAACATATATCACAAGGTACAATCTTAGGTCTTACAAGGACATTATCAAGTTGATGTTGACTTTGTCCTGAAAATTCGAATACTACCAGCTCTAGCCTTCATCCCACAAGATGGAGTGGTTGATGCGTTTGAGACTCTGCAAGATAATATGTCACCTGAAGCTGATCCTGTCGTAGACTACTTCAAAGATACACACATTGGCAGACAACATCAACATACAGGCGAGCTCCACGTTTCCGTCAGCATGTGGGATATGTACTGCATGATATAGCCGAAGAGCTACCTCGCACCAACTCCTTAGAAGGATGGCATAACAGATTTTTTCAGATTTGCCCCCGAGGGGGCTAGTTTATTGGGCACCCCCTTACATCCTGTGCAAGGTGAAGCGCAGAAGCGTTTACAGCGGAAGGCATAACCATATGCTAGCAACGTCATTCCATCCAAATATCTTGAAGTTTCTTTCAGTGTTGAAAAAGGAGCAGGCAGGAGGGCCAGCACCACCTAAGCGGAAACGTTATCAAGATTCGACAGCCAGAATAGCAACCACCGTACAAGACTTTGAGAACCGCCATGTGCTGGAGTTTTTGAGGGCAATAGCCCACAACTTGGAATTTAATGTGTGATATATGACATAGACTCTTTAAATGTTAATTATGACTGATCCACAAATATTCTCACTTACCTGTATCCACAATTTTTATCAGTTTTACTAATTATAGTTTTCTTGCAGGTTTGTAATGTTAAAAAATTAATATTTGTCTAAGTTGTACAGATTATGTATATAATTACTATTGTGCATAATAAATAAAACAAAAAAATGAAACATTAATTCTGAGTGTTATTTGTTCCTGTCTATTCAGTCAGTTCCATGTTTTATGCCAGTTATTGGTGAACTTATTTTTTTTCCTATGAAAAACAGCAAATGTCAGTGCAGATTCATTGGCAATATGAGTGGGGTGGGGGCAGTTGCCTGGGAAGCGATTGTCTTATGGGTGTATCAGGACAACTGCCCCCTGGACAATTGCCCCCCATTGCCAGTGAATAACTGGCACAAAACATGGAACTAAATGAATAAAGAGGAGAAAATAACACTAAGAATTAAAGCTTTATTTTCATGTTTTATTTGTAGTAATAACTATATACACAAAATGCACAACTCATACTTTTTTTTAACACTACAACTTTATCAGGATTAAGGATATGAACCGAACCGGCAGGGTGTTAGGTTAGGGATATGAGCCGGCAGGGTATTGTGGAGTATGAGTTTGTGTTCGGACTCAGGATGGGTTGGAGAATGGAAACTCACAATGTGCTCTCTGTATACATGTTGTATTGGATGTACAATGCAGCTTGGTGCTGGGAAGGCAGCATGGTTACAAGCGTGATGTAGAGAGAGCTGGTTGGTGAGGATGCTCAGAGGAGGACCAGCTTGTGGGTCGCCATGCTCGCCGGCCGGAGCGAGGACCGCCAGGCAGGCGGAGGAGGAGGAGGAGGTGTTGCTGGCTGGTTGGTGTAGATAGAAAGAGAGCGATCACCACGAGGTCAGGTCTTAAATAGCGGGGGTTGGCGTGGCTTAGTAGTTGACCCCCTGCTCCGTGGGCGGCGTTGGTTGACCTAGACCACGAGACACACACTGTGGAATTCGTGGGGTCGGCTATGCAGCGACAAACAGCGTTTTTAGGGGAGAAATCCACTACAATACTCCCTCCTTCCTTCCAGGCGGTGTAGGAGACTTGTTGTCTGCAGGGTTGCATAGCACATGTGAGGCAGAACGGGCGGTGCGTGCCTCATGTGAGACAACGGCGATGGCGTGGATGAGCCGGTCGCTAGAGACAACTGTCTAGATACATAATATCTGTGGGAGTAGAGAGGGAGAAAAAGGGTGTGTGGAGGCGATGAATGTTGTGCTTCCCTCACGGCAGGTACAGAGTCGCCAGATGCGCCTGCTGGGGTGTGTGGGCCTGGGTCAGGAGCAAGGGCTGCGTCAGCAGAAGCGGATGAGGGCTCGTGACAGCAGAAGCGGATGAGGGCTCGTGACAGCAGCTGGGTCCACGACAGCAGCAGGGTGCAGGACATTAGCAGGGAGTATCTGAGGGAGAAAAGAGGGGTGTGTGGGTCCGCACTCAGGAGCAGGGGCCGCGTCAGGAGAAGCGGCAGGAGGTACTGCTGGGCCGACGGGTGTGCTGGGGTCGGAAGAGGAGCGGTTGTCTGCTTAGAGTAGCAGAGCTGCTCTAGGGTGTCTAACCTGCGGTGTAGAGACAGTAGTTGTAGAGCCGATGAGAGCTGCTTCTGTGTGGATAAGCCAGTCTTCCATGTTGCTTGAAGACTGGGAGCGTGATCTGTTTCTCCTCCATCCTATGTGAGTGTGAATCTCCGGGGGTCACCATTTGTGGAGTATGAGTTTGTGTTCGGACTCAGGATGGGTTGGAGAAAGGAAACTCACGATGTGCTCTCTGTATACATGTTGTATTGGATGTACAATGCAGCTTGGTGCTGGGAAGGCAGCATGGTTACAAGCGTGATGTAGAGAGAGCTGGTTGGTGAGGGTGCTCAGAGGAGGACCAGCTTGTGGGTCGCCATGCTCGCCGGCCGGAGCGAGGACCGCCAGGCAGGCGGAGGAGGTGTTGCTGGTTGGTTGGTGTAGGTAGAAAGAGAGCGATCACCACGAGGTCAGGTCTTAAATAGCGGGGGTTGGCGTGGCTTAGTAGTTGACCCCCTGCTCCGTGGGCGGCGTTGGTTGACCTAGACCACGAGGCACACTGTGGAATTTGCGGGGTCGGCTATGCAGCGACAAACAGCGTTTGTAGGGGAGAAATCCACTACAGTATTAAGAGAAAGTTGAAACAATTTTATACTTTTACTTTTATCCTCTTCGCCACTGATCGGCTTGTTAGCCGCTTGGGCGATCGGTCACGTCTCTTTTCCTTTATATTCTTCACCAAAAGGTCGGCTCGCTAGCCGCCCGGGCGATCGGTCACGTCTCTGTCACGCACTGTTGGCAAATACTGGGCATGCACCGGCTCCTGAATGAACCTGAACCCGCTCCAGTGTTGGTCAAGTCTTCTCTTGAAAGAGCTCACACTCGGTGCCGTCACAACACTCTCTGGTAGATTGTTCCAAGAGTTTACAACCCTCACTCCGAAAAAGTTTGCCCTCACGGTTTTCCGGACTTGCGGCTTCTTCAATCTTGAGCTGTGACCCCTTGTGGGGCGAGCGTCCGCCAGCTCCAAGTAAGGACACTCAACTGAGTAGTGCCCCCTGAGATGCTTATAAACCTCAACTAGGTCCCCCCTTGCCCGTCTGTAGTATAAGCTAGGCAAGTTCAGGCGCTCCAATCTCTCAGGTATAGTACCTGGAGTTCGCTATCAGTTATAATACCTTAGAACAAGTTATCTGTCCACGTGAAAACCAATAATGTTATCAATTCAAAACTAAAACTAACAAAAAAAAAAATGAAAATAACAGATGAAGCTACAACGAGAGAAGAGAGTTGTGTTGAGTTGTGTTGCTAAAGTGACTCGTCAGCTTCGGACGGTCCAAGAATAATATAATGTTTGTTAGATTAAAATCACTTGTATTCCTGTAGATTTACAAAGCATACAATATACTATTGTTGCATACCTACACGAAGTACACTATGGGGGACAAGTGTCCCATGGGGGGAAGTTGTCCGGGAGGCAATTGTCCAGGTGGCAGTTGTCCTAGAACCGGTGGTGGTAGACCTATGGAACAGTCTACCAGCACAAGCAATGGTGGTGGTGGTAGAACCTGACTAACAACCCCTCAGACAAGGCACATTAGGGTAGATATCATTGAAACACTCAAAATCCCAAAGAGATGAAAAACGTGAACCCGGGCCATTTGTTTGTGATATCACACACAACCAACACGAGGAGACATAACTACAAGCTCGCCAAGTTATCATGCAGAACAACCATAAGGAAATACGTTTCAATTACCGCGATATATTTCACTTATTTACAACACAAACAGACTAAAAGAACCTCTCTACCGTGCTTTTAGAGTCATTGCGACACAAGGGGTGTGGGTCCTGGGGGACAGTGGGGGGCGACATGCGACTGATGCGAGTAGCTCTGCTCAGGCTCAGTCAGTGTTTGACCAGCCATCGTTGTGAGCGGACGTGTAAGGGCCACTCCTCCGGCCTGACTCACAGAGTTGACTCGTGCGTAAATTGCGCCAGGTTGCCATTACCCTAACACAGAGTTATGGTGTTGAGAAAATGATGTGTAGGTTATGTTCACTAGTTGGGAGAATTGTTATAACATATCACGGATTGTTAATGCATTATTTTAAAAGAAAAACAACAAAACCTGGTAATTTCAGAATTACAAATCTGAAAACACCATACAAGTTGTCAATACCAAATCTCATGTATTTGTCAAATTACTCATATTTTACTGTGGGGTTAACATTACCTGATATATTTATAGGAATCGTAGTTAGATGACGTGGTTAGGTTAGTGACAACTCCCAACACCAAATTTATATTAAATTTGATTTCATGAATATTTAACTGACACTAGCTAGAATTTTAAATCGAAGCATCGTGTGACACTATAATTTATTTATATCCTATATATATATATATATATATATATATATTATATATATATATATATATATATATATATATATATATATATATATATATATATATATATAGATCACTGTAGGTGCGCAGAATCTGTATTTGCTGATAAATTCAATACTAAAACGCTTGGAACTTGTGTTTTCTGTTTTTTGCTAGTGACTGTGCATATATATATATATATAAATAAATAAATATATATATATATATATATATATATATATATATATATATATATATATATATATATATATATTTAACTCTGTTTTGCTAAATTGTCTTAAAGGAAATTTTATATACATGAAGTAGAGGAATAAAGAGAGTAGGAGAAAAAATAAACCAAAGAATGAAAATCGTCAGTAAAGGATTAAAGAATAGAGTGAGATAAAAAAGAATATAGTTGTACTATTAAGTGAGGATGAAATTAGAGAGAAACTAGTGAGAAAACGAATACGGAAGAAAATAAGAAACACCAAAGAGAATTATACAGTAAATGAGAAATAAACAAACGTTAACGATAAAAACTAAATATGATTTAAGACGACGAATAGAATAAGTGAAAGTAAATAAAAATACATAAGAATGAAGGAAATAAAGAACATTAGTGAAGAAAAACCTAACTTAAAAAAATAAACACAAGGGACGAAAGTAAACATATAAGAACTGAATTACAGATAAAATAAATAATGAAAACTAAATAACGATCAGAGGAAGTGATACGGATTAAGAAATACACGAAGTAAAAAATAAAAAAAGACAAAGTTGTGACAGGTGGCAGCTTGACAGCCAGGATCGAACCCTTGTCCTCGTCAACATGTGGGAGACACGAACATTGCTGCCATCCTTGTTAGTTCTCCTGTTCCTGTCTTGTATAACAGGTAAGTGAGGTGGTACCTTGTGTCAGTGGTACTTTGTGTTAGTGGTACCTTGTGTCAGTGGTACCTTTTGTCAGTGGTACCTTGTGTTAGTGGTACCTTGTGTCAGTGGTACCTTTTGTCAGTGGTACCTTGTGTTAGTGGTACCTTGTGTCAGTGGTACCTTGTGTCAGTGGTACTTTGTGTTAGTGGTACCTTGTGTCAGTGGTACCTTTTGTCAGTGGTACCTTGTGTCAGTGGTACTTTGTGTCAGTGGTACCTTGTGTCAGTGGTACCTTTTGTCAGTGGTACCTTGTGTCAGTGGTACCTTTTGTCAGTGGTACCTTGTGTCAGTGGTACCTTTTGTCAGTGGTACCTTTTGTCAGTGGTACCTTGTGTCAGTGGTACCTTGTGTCAGTGGTACCTTGTGTTAGTGGTACCTTGTGTCAGTGGTACCTTGTATAGCAATTAGGTTAATTTGATTAGGTTAAGTAGGATAAGTTAGGTTAGGTTAGGCTAGGTTAGGTTAAATTAGGTTAGGTAGATTAGGTGAGCAGTAGGTTAGGCTAGGTTAAGTGAGCATTAGGTTAGGTTAGATGAGCATAAAGGTTCATCCCATACGCGCGTACATTTTGTCACCAACATGTGATCAACAAGAGGAAAAACCGATCTAGTGCACGCGGCCACACCCTACTAGTGTCGGAACCCTGAGTCTTATTTCGTCTTTAGGTTAGGTTAGGTTAGGTTAGGTGAGGTTAGGTTAGGTGAGGTTAGGTTAGGTTAGGTTAGGTTAGGTTAGGTTAGGTTAGGTTAGGTGAGCGTTAGGGGTATTTAGTCATCAGGTGAAATAAGTCGGGATGTCTAATCGGCACGTGATCCAATTTTTTTTTTTGTAGTTCATGTTATTATGATACACAAGACTGTTTATAAAAGTCTATTAAGTTTGGCTGCGGGAAATCACCTGTACGCTTACCTGTCCTGACGATACTGGTGGGAAATATCGCCACATCTTTCTGGTTTTCTTCCCGCCGTCCCTCACCCTGCCACCTCCTCATCTCACCGCCCTCACCCTGCCACCTTCTCACCTCCCCGCCCTCACCCTGTCACCT